AAAACTATTCGTGTTATTTGCTTCTGGCTGTATTCCATAGCTGCAGTGAAATCTGAAGGGAAGATGTTTCGCTGTCAGGGTTTACCCTTCCCTCATAGCCAGATCACTTCAGTTAGTTTGGCAGCTCAGACTCTGATTAGAATGGATGAGTTTCTGGGACCAGGGCTCTCAGGTGGAAGCAGACCGGGGCCAGCATGTGCACACTCCACGGACACGGCTGTGACCTTCCAAACGTCACTGGAGAGAAGGGGAGGGCAGGAATACTCCATTGTGAATTATTTCTGTGCAGGGAAACATTATCCAAACTGAAAACCATCTAGGAAGGTGTCGCTATGTGTAATTGAGATGGAGACCTTAGTGCAAGGAACAGAACAGGGGAGTGCAATAACACAGAATGAAATTGTGTTAATTCCTTTGGGCATTTCAGGGCCTTATTTCTTTTGAGTTAATGCTTTGTGTTCAGTCATGCCCACATGGCTGTCTTTATTAAAATGCTGGTGATTCATAAACAGATTGCTAATGGGACTTAGCACCACATTATAACTTTTGTTCTATTTACATATGTTAATAAAAATAGTGAAATGTGGGATATGAAACATTTGTTTAAGGTGGCAGGGAAAATGGAGCCATTTTTCACCTAATGCTAGACCTTCTGCAGGTCTTGGAGGAGCTGCTACTACTCTTCCAAATTAGCATTTCATATTTTTCTCCTTACAGCCCTGTAATATGTAGCCAACTTCTTTGAAATGTAGCAGCTTTTATTAAGATTTATGAAGAAACTCATACTTCCTACTGAGGGAGCAAAATGCAGTCTTTCTCACTGAGTCTGTTTTGTTTATGAAAGCTAATTAAAATCTTGTATCTTGAATAGTTAATAGTGAACAGTAAATAGTGAGAAGAAAGGTTAATACTTAAACCATTAAGGGACACAGCACAAGACTGCACCTAATAGAATTCATCTGTCTTTATAGGTCTTCAAGCAGCTTGCCTCTGTTCTTAGTACATGTGATGTCTCTGTTCATCTGGTAGAAGTGAGCCCCAAACTCAGCGAGATCCAAGCAGTGATGTTGACAGGAGGGAAGGTGCAGCCAAGCCCTGAGGATGAGACTGCTTACATGAAAGGCATTAGCAAGACTGGAATTCCTATTTTTTGGTACAGAGACATTCAAGATGTGCCACCAGGTAAGGAGCTTGAATGCCTTGTTAAAGGGATGGTGCCCTTCCTTCACTGATAACTTTAGATAGCAGAGGGCATCTCTGCTAGCCTTCACACTGGACACAAAAGTGGTTTTATACATATTTGTTCTTACTTGTATGACTCTGAGGCAGGATCTTGGTTCATTTTTGTCACTGCTGCCTATTCTGTCAACCTTCATTTGGGGATAGCTACCCAATTTCCTATATTCTGACTTTTTCTTTCCATGGGGAAAAAAAAAAAAAAAAACCAAAACTTTACTGGCTTTGCCTGAATCTCCTTGCACAAGATAGTGATCTAAAATTCATGGACTGGTAACTAGAACTAGCTGTAGAAATGGTATCTTTAATGTGTGCAAGCTGGAAGTAATTAAAATTTCTTCACAACCACATTAACTAGCTTAATTCATTAAAAATCATAAAAATATTTTAAACTGAGAGCTGCTCTAGAAGTGTTAATAATTTAATGCATTCTTTTTTTTATCTTCCCACAGGTTACAGCTTTTATCTAGCACATGAGTTCTTTGATGCCCTGCCAATACATAAGTTTCAGGTATAGAAAGATAATTACTTTAATTGTGACCATCTGCTTAAACACTTTTTCTCTTTGAGGAAGAACAGAATTGAGGTGCCAACTAGTCACATGCACTGTCTCTGGTGATGAAATAATTCTAACTGAATTGGACAAATAAGGCTTAATTCAGCTGAAAACTGTAAAACTAGTAATTATTTCTGAATGGAAAAACTTGAAGAAAGCTAAGGATTTCTTTCTGCTCAGATAACTCTCAAGGTTTTGGGTTTTTTTATTTCTTATGCTACATTAACACATTTTAATTTCCACATGATTTTCTGTAATACCACTAAGAAAAGACTGAAGGGCTTTCACTTGAATAATAATGAGAGCAGCCAAATAGAGGCTCGTTACAATTCAGAAGTAGCTAATTTATGAAAATCACCAGTAGAATGAAATCTTTTATTTTGGTAAGTTAAATGTTGCACTGTCAACAGAAGAGGCGGCATGTTTCTTCAGAGCATCATTAATTCCTTTCAAGTATAATTAAACCTGTATTTGTTGGCTCTGCAGATGATTCTTCACCACAAGCTTTTTCTAAGGCAGTTAATGGAATTAAATGAGTAATAGTTGTTAACAATGTATTGTTCCTAAAACCTTTATGAAAAGGCTTGACATATTAGTTCAGTCAAATGAACAAGATACTGTGGTACCTGTTGGAGTGTAACATGAGTACTTTGGGCTCGTTGAACAGCGAACAGAAAAAGGCTGGCGTGAGGTGTTGGTTGATATTGACCCAGAAGTTCCTGACCAGCTGCGGTTTGTCCTGTCACCATCCAGGACCCCTGCGACACAAAACTTTATTCAGGTGAGGTTATGCCTACCAGAGCTCATCCTTACACCTTTATTGACTCTTTCAAGTACATTTAGTGCTTCTCAGTTACTCTTGACAGCAAGAAGAGGGCTCTCAGTCTATAAATAAATAGAGCTTAAAATTTCCACAAGCGTTTAGCTTTGTGTGCTGTGAAACTGCAGCACAAAAGTTACCACATGTATCAAACTTTGCAAAATAGGAGCTTGCACACACAACATGTCTCAGAGAGCAAACCAAGGCACCAAATGATGGGCAGAGTTTTCCACCATCTCAAGAGTGGCCCTGCCCCAGGCAGGCTCTCAGCGTGCTGCAGGGTACTCAGGGCAGCTGCCTGCTCGGTGCCAGGCTGACCTTTAATGGAGAATGGCTCTGTTTTTTTCCGGAAGTGCACTGGATACTCAAAGCTACAAAATTAAGTAGTGCAGATTAAATGGAGCTATGAAGTCTCACACAGGAAGGCCTCTCGGAAGGGTGTGCACAGCTGAAGCACTATTTTCCTTAAGTACTACAGTAAGGAAATTTCACCTGATAGAGATATTCTTGGTAGAAAAATTTGCATTTGACTACAGGTTATTGAAGAGAGCACTGAAATCCAGCACTGAGAAAATACTAATTGAGAATGAGTGATAGCAAAAACTAGCTCAAGCCAGTGTAGGTAGCCTAGGATGCATATCCTGTACCTGTGTGTCCCAGGAAAGGAACAGCCCCAAGACACCAAGTGTGAGGGATACTTGCCTTGTGCTTGTCTGCTAATACAGGTGTTCTGGTCTTTGAACTCTGCACTAGCCAGAAGAAACAAGAGACCACGTGGAAGTGTGTCCTGAGGCTGGTGTCATTGTGCAGAGGCTGGCCTCTCGGATAGAGAAGGATGGTGGAGCTGCTCTGGTTGCAGATTACGGCCACGATGGAACCAAAACTGACACTTTCCGGGTAAGAGTCTGTTATCTTTGATTGTTAGGTTCTTGTAAGTTAAAGTTCATAGGTGGGCATAATAGCAAAAACTGCATAAAACTGAGTAATTCCTGTTTAATCAGTACCCAAAAGGGTTTCTGTCAGTTGGAAAGGGAAATGTGAGCCCTTCCTACGTTTACCTCAAACTTTCCACGTATAATTTGCTATTGTCACCACTCTAAGGCACAGCTTAATTTTTGCCAGCCCTGGTTATGATGGTTGGGCTACAGCTGAGTGTAATCTTCCAATTTCATTTGCAGGGTTTTCGGAATCACAAACTTCATGATGTGCTGAGTGCTCCAGGTACAGCAGACCTGACAGCAGATGTTGATTTCAGCTACCTTCGAAAGATGGCACAGGGAAAAACAGCTACATTAGGCCCTATAAAACAGAGGGAGTTTTTAAAGAACATGGGCATTGAGCTCCGACTGCAGGTACGAGTGTTCACATCTGCAGAACTCTCCCAGTCCACAGGCAATACACTTAAGCAGTACAAGAACCAAGTCCTTGGTTTTACAATGAAGTTGTTCAAAATAACATGTAGGTATGAGATCAGAAAGTTGCTTCTGCAAGATGTAAGTTACTCCATATCCCTGAAAGTAAATTGAATTATATTTAGGAGCATTTAATTTAAAACTTTCATCAGTGTGTGGGCTATGGACCACCACCAGTGATCTCACCATTTTACCAACCATCACAGCACCATTAAGTGGAAAGGATGCAAGAAGGGATTGCAGGTATGCAGGAATTTATAGGAATGCAGGAAGGGCTCTAACCTGCATTTTTTTTTTCCAGGTGCTCTTGCAGAATTCAAGTGACACAGCAACTCATGAGCAGTTACTTCACAGCTATGACATGCTGATGAATCCCGAGAAGATGGGAGACTGTTTTAATTTTTTTGCCCTGCTGCCTCACCACAGACTTATACATCCTGACAAGAAAGATAAGCAAGAATCAAAGTCTCCCCTACCACCTGTTGCTGGATTTAATGAACTGTTACTAAAGTAATTTCAAATACTATGGCAAAATGCGTGGTGGCTGTTTCTGAATAAGTCTGATGCAGCACACCAAACCTCTGGACTGACCTATTCAAACCAGTATGAGTGGAAATAAAACACTGCACATACAGAAACCAGCACACACAGAGCAGACAATGAACAACGTTTTGGGAGTCTTTTGAGAGAACAGAGTGAAATATTTACTAATGGAATCCAAACTTGTCAGTAACAAACATGCACTATGGAGTCTTTAAATGTATTCAAGCTTTGGTACTTGAATAAAATCAAGATGCCTTGACATCTCTGAAGATATTTTTATAAAGAGAATAGTGACAGGATGCACGTAAAAGGAGTTCCTGCTGGCTGAATTTCCACAGCGGCACATATTTAATAAATCCACAAAAAAGAAAGTATAGGACTAAGAACATTTGATAGGAGAGATAATTCACGTAAATAAAAATAACTAATCTGATAGGGAAATAAATTTTATTTTCAAGCTTACCAGAGGATATTTACAAACAATGGGGTGTATAAAAATATAAAAGTACTTGACAGTGTCATTTTGAGGCTATAAATTTTACATGAGCTTTTTTATAGCATCACCATAGCACTATTGCTTGAACAAACGCAACTTAATTCATCTAGGGTAAGGGTATTAAACACTGTAACCTACTGCTGTCAAAGTCTGCAGTAAAAGTAGAAAAAAGGGAATAAAACTCAGCTGTTTTTACTACTCTAGGAATTTTACATGTAATATAAGCCTGATTTTTTGGTTTCTTGACTACTAGCTGCTTGTGGCTTCTCTTGTCTGGCTCCATAAGTCTGCATATGATCAGGCAATCTCTTTGAAAGGTCAACAGCATTATTTTTATTTTAATACAACTTGAAGAATAAATAGCTCATATAATATTTTGAAGCAGTGCAGACTTCATGGGGAGAGACAAAAGCCAGGCCTTCTACTTCATTACTGTTCCCTCCTTCCTCTATTCCTGTTGTGCTTTTTCAAGTGTGTGAGCTGCTTTATTTCCTCCCTTACAACAACATAAAAACAACAAACCCACAGGTAAACCTAGAGTAACAGCTCAAGTAAGAAATCTGAAGTTTAAAACCAAACTATCTATATAGTACAGTTAGGATGGAATGTAGCAATGGCTGCATTGAAATTTGGTCACTTGAGCATTGGAAGTTGAAAAACAGCACAGCTTTGCTTGCCAACAAGAATGGGCAAATACCAAACTACCAATGTCAGAGGCGATTGCTCTGGTTGCAGAGATGGGAAGCAGTGCCTCTTTGAAAAACCAGTCCTGAAACCCTCTCTAAACAGGGTTAAGAATCCAGAGCTCAGCCTCTGCCAGCACAGACACCTATGAAATGCAGTGGCAGATAGATAAAGGACAATGGGAAAAGAAAGAGTGAGCTGAAGACCCAGACCTACCTGTGGGCACATCCTTCTGCAGCTGCTACTGCAAGCAGCTGCCAGCTCTGAACTAACCATGGAACATTTTAGGTATATCTAACAACTTATAAATCTGCTCACCTGCTTCCTTACCTGAATAAAAACAGTATAAAAAATACTTATCTAAACACAAACAAAAAAAGAAAAATCTTTGTAGGAGAGTGGAGATACCCCAAAGCCTCTCACTGCCTTTGCAGTTCAAGCCTGTATCAGAATTTTATTAAAATTTCCAACTAAGCTCCAATTAAGCAGCTTGGCACATCAGGGATGCATGCAGCCATCCAGCACCCTCCAGGAGCACAACACCGCTACTCCACAAAAATTTGCATTTAGCATTATGGCCTCAAACTTCTTTGAAATACCATTAACTTGAACTGTCCAAGGGAATAATTTCCAAAGAACACTGCTGTTTACCCTCTACTGTGCCACAAGTAGCATTAGTGGTTGGGAATCCTTCAGTGGAGGCATGTGCACAGAAAAATCTGAGCAGTTGCTTTTGGACTCTTCATTCAGCTCAAACAGTTCTGAGCACAGTAAAGAGCATAGGAGGGCTGCAGGTTAAGGTGGCAAGGCGAAGTCCTTTCTCCTACAATCCAGCTGCCCTGGCAGAAGCAACAGCTGATGTATCCACTGTTACTTCTAGGTTTTGAGCAGTTAACATAACAAGCTAGCAGGCTACAAACTACTCCTGATGTAAGTCCAAGGAACCTTAAAAATTAGAAAAATATCAGAAAACTTTTTAAATCTTATTACTCAAAACGACATAAGAAAGCTGCATGTATTTTCCCTATTTTTCCACATCCTTCTGCTAAAAGCTGATCTTCCAGAGTGAAAAGATATGCTATATCAAGTCTTGTGTGCTCTCTGTGTGTAGTTTTAAGGCAAAATGCCTTTGGTGTGTATCAATGATGTGCCAGCCTTGCACAGCAGCGCACTGTTGTGGCTTACTGCTTTTTTTAACAGACAAAATAAAAGCCTAGCACAGCTTTGATTATCATCTCCTTAGACTGTCAGCCAGCATTTCAAGAGGAATGTAAGAAGTCATGGGGTTTTCCTTTTTTTAGTTTGTTTTGGTTGCTATCTGTAAAAAGTTCAATTAGGGCAAACACACACATATTTAACTGTCTAAACAGCAGCAAATTATTCCATCATCTATGAAGCTGTATGCAATTAAACCACCATGTTTTGCCTTCGCCAAGGTATTCTGTACTGATTTCTTTATAGAGTCTCTTCACCATCCACAGTTTGAGAAACAGAAGATCTAAGTAGCAGAAAACAGTCCCCTATGGCCTAGTAAATAGGGATTAGAAAACTATTACAAAACTCTTACTGCTAGGCTATGAAAAAACAAAAACCCTTGAAAAACACAAACCATTCAGTCTGTACACACTACACCTCAGTAATGACTTTGTAGCCATCCAGCTTGGTGAAATGTTACCCAACAGGGATTTGTATCCCACTGTCCAGTAACTACTCAGAGTTAAAGTCAGGGATGGAGAAAAGTTTGCAGACCAGTCTATTCTCATGGTAATGCAGGATCCTCTGGGCCTTACACACCAAACTATGTGTACAGCCTTTGGAAAGAGCAATAGCTGTTTCAAAACTTCAGTTTCTGCCTGGAGTATCCTTCTTTGCTGCAATTTAGCATAATGAACAAATCAAGGGTCTTCTTCCATGTCATCTGGATTGGGAGCCATAATGAAGTGCTGGGGGTACTCGAGGTTGTGCTCATAAGCGTGTTCTTTCCAGCGTGCATCATCGCTCTCATGGGTAATATAACGCTCTCCAATGCGTGTTTCAAATTCTCTGAGGTCAAGCCAAGTCTGATAATCCTAAGGAGTAAAAGAGATTTAAGGAAGCAGTTTTAAGAAACAGCACCAATACATTCCCACAGATAAATTCTGCAGTTTGTGTCCATTTTTAGTGTAAATAGCCAGAAGATATAACCAACAAGATCTGTTAAAAAAAAAAAAGCCCCAACACTGTTCACAAAGAATAGTTCAAAATTAAATAGGCTAGTATCTAAGATTGTCAAAGCAGCAGATAAAACATTCCATTCCAAAAGATCTTTTCTAAATGGACTACAAGTTACAGCACACACCAGGCTATGTGTCCACTTCAGCACTGAACAAACGATGTTTGTCTCCATGCTGATTTCACATGGCTCCATACATTCATCTCTGCCCACAGTCAAGGGGGAAGCCAGAAGAGTAAACCCATTTGTTGCCAGACAGAAAGGAAAGGGCAAAAGAGACAGTATGACAAATTTCCCTTGAGGAAAGGAGCTATTCACAGATGGTCAGAACCCTGGAGTGCATCAAATGTAAAGTTAAATCCAGAAATGCTCAAGTCTTCATGAATGCTTGTTAACAGAATGTGACACTTGCAGTTTTCATAAGCTCTGAAGAATTTCAGTCAAAAAAATTATTCACTCATTTTAAGCATAGTGAAAAAAGCAGATGGGTTTACCTGTAACCATGGGTGACTAAGGGATTTGTCAACACTGAAACGTTTCCTCATCTTCACTTGAAGCAAATTGTTTATTAAATCAATGGCTGGCAAAGAAGAACAAAAATAATATTGTTTAAATGCTAATCACCTCCATCATCATTCACATGCTGCAGTAGAAATGATATTTTTATGTGTGAGTGTATCCTACACTGAATTCCTTTAAATTTAACCAAACTCTTGAATTTTATATTTAGCTTTCCTTATGTTAAATGTGGCTACAAAAAAAGTATGGGGTATGCTCCCCCTACTTTTGATGGAAACACTAAAAGCTTTACTGTGGTTTTTGTTAATCTTTTTCACTACTGATTTTAGTAATTTTCAGATATGTCTAAAAACCTTGAGCATAATCCTGTGTTCCACAATGATATAGGTACTTCCACTACTGTATATATCCTTCCACATCTACCTGTGTCTTAATCATGTATTAACCAAACATGGTAACAACATATAACCAAAGTTGGCACTGGAGAGCTCTAGAGACCAGCCCTGTAAACTTCTAGGTTGTTCAGACCTCACACTTCAGTCCATACTTCCTAATGTACAAATTAAAATTCCAGATTCAACTTTGAACAGTTTCTGTGATTATAGTTCAGATAAAACATACCATCATTCAGCAAATACCCACACATGAATTAACTTTCCTTTGGGACTTTTGGGAAGTATCAGATCACTCATTCCACTCATCATGCATGAAATTCATTTTTCTTGCTAAATCTTCTGACTCCTCTGCCCTGAAAATTTTCTAAAGCATTATATTTTATAATTTATCTTTCACAAATATATTTACCTCATATTTACCTATTTGGGCATAGTCTACTAAACTCAAACTAACAATAATTTCCTCACTCCTTCCTAAATGAATCTTGACATTTAAGCATTTGAATGCGTTACCTACGTACACAAACATTCCAATAAAGAAAGTTAATTTTTTTACCTTCACTAGAAATCTCCTTCCAAGGATTTGGTGGGTACATAAATGCTGCATTTTGAATCTGATCATTGATATCCTCATCTTCATTAAATGGGAATGTGCCACTGAGACTCACATAGACAATAACTCCTACTGACCACATGTCTAGGGAGCGGTTGTAGCCTTTGCTCCTGAGCACTTCAGGGGCGAGGTACGCAGGAGTGCCCACCACAGAGCGCCGGAAAGACTTCTCCCCAATGATGCGTGCAAAGCCAAAATCACACAGCTTCACCTGCAAAAGCAGCACATTTTAAATGGAGCAATCTCTGCTTGACTTCACACCCTTTCTGCCATCACTTAAACATTGTATACAAAGAGAACAAAACCCCATGTAAACCAGCCCATTAAGGTTACTGGGTTTGCAGCACACAGATCAGCCACACTTCAGATCAAGACCTGAACTGGCCCTGCAGAGACTTGGGTATGAGCCAGTTTGTGTATTACATGGCCACAAGTGTGCAAAATAAGGAAAAAAGTATCTTGATTCCAAACCCAGCTCATTTTCAGAGGTGACTCCTCACTCTCAAAAGGCACAGAACCAAAGTTAAAAATACACACAAATCCCAGCCAAATCTCATTCCTCTTAATCAAATTCCTGAAGCTGGAGTCTTCGGCTACATGGAAATCAAACAGTGAGTTCTAGCTTGAACCCAGAGCCAGCCAGCTCTTGACATAACATCCCAGTAAAATGCATTAATAGCTGGTACATGCACCGATGCTCAAATCTTCATGATCCTTCAACAGTTCCTTAACTTGAACACAGCAGGCACTTGTGAAGATAAAAGGATCCAGATCAAGTTCAACATGTAACCCCAAGTCAATAAGCCCTCCTCAGAGTATAAGAAAGACCAATGCACTAATGGCACTTAGTGAGACAAGTGAAAAAAAAAAGAGACAACTACAGTAACATGCAGTTCAAGTAATTCTAGAAGTCAGCTGAAAATCCCACAAGAGGTTGCTGTTTAAGCAGCAGTGTCGATATTGCTTTTAAAAAAACCCAATGAATAGTAATGAAAAGTATTGTTTAATCTTCACTCACTTGAGGGAATGGTTCTGCTGATGCTAGTAGTACATTTTCTGGTTTTAAATCACAGTGCACAATATTCTTGAAGTGTAAATTCCTCAAAGCAACAAGTATCTACAAAATGAAAGAACCCTTTCAGAACATATTCAAGCAGATGAGAAGTGTCAAAAGACACACAGACTAACCAATACAGCAATTTCTATCAACATAGTCCTCAAGAACTAACCCATATATACTGTACAAGTACTGTTTTTTCCAGTCTACCAAGACTTGAAAACAAGCGGGTTTATTTTCCCCAACCTTCTTCCCCCCACCTCCTCCTCTGTTTTTTTGAATGCTTACTGTTTTGACACTCATCTTTAGATGTCCATAATGTTGTCTTGGGAAAGAAGCGCCAAAAAATTAACACAATTAACATTCAAAGCTCTTTTCTTGTTTATTCAACTTTCATTAGATGTGTAGCTCTCTATGCTGTCTCTTTTAAATAAAAGTACAGAAAACTCCTTCTCCAAATTCTCATCTTATAATTACAAAACCCAAATCTAGCCTTTCCTCTCAAATCAGAGGAACTGACTGCTCACCTGAGTGACCATGAACTTAGTTATTCGTTCTGGAAGTCGACCTTTCTCACTGGAAAGAATCATCTCTAGCATATCCCCATGCAACTTTTCCATCACAACAAAGACTCGTTCTGGTGTTTCAAACATACATTCCAGGTTCACAATCCCAGGGTGGTGCAAATTCTAAAACAAAGTAGCACAGGAACATCAATAAATAAATCAGCATGAAATATGCTGAATTACACAAAAATGCTGACCACAAATAAAAAAAAAAAAAAAAACCACCAGTTAAATAGGTACAGGTGAAAAAAACTATGTGAGGAAAGAATCTCGCTTGAAACAAATGTCAATCCATGAAACATGCCAACTACTAAGGATAACTTACTTAATACAATTTAGCTGCAGTGATTAATTTTACAGTTGACACATGTTCTGTATCAAGATACTGAGTGTAAGAATAATACTTAAAGACTGAGGAGCCAGTAGTGGAAAACAGCATAAAATAATACTGAGGGAGTTAATATGGAGTCAAAGTACATGGCTTCAGTGGGATCCCCTACAGCAGGGTAGATATCATCCCCAAGTTATCAATTCTACCAAGTACTCAGGAGTTCCTGCTTTTATAAGATTCCATCTTCTAAAAGTACTCGGAAATCACAGATATAAATTTAAAAATCAATTCAGAACACTTAGACACAATATAAAATCTCATTAATAGTCTATTTAGGACAAAACTCCAACATGATTCCAAAACACTTTTATACCTGGAGAATGGCTACTTCATTACGAAGCTGACTTTCCTGTTTAGTTGGAAACCTCATCTTGTCAATGACTTTAATAGCCACATCTCTTCCAGTCTTCCTATGTTTTCCTAAACAGAAAGTCAGTGTCAGCCATCAAGAGGTAGAAGCAATTCATAGCTATCAAACATTACAGCAGAAATTCCTTTTTGGGGAAACAAGTATATGCTGTCAGGTGTACAATATTACCATATTTATATTTAGAATTGCAAATGGTATATGAGTAAAAGAAGAGATCAACCTCCACAGGAATTCTGCAGTTTAACTTAAACCAGTTACCACTCTGCTGTCAGGTACACACCCACTGACATGAGATGTACTGGGTGAAGTTTTTGTTTGTGCAAGGGACTTGCACATGAGCAAGTAAGACCTACTCCACAGATTATTGCCTCTCCTGTAAAAACAACAACAATTTGAGGCCCAAGTGAAGACGGACCTAACCCACTCTTGTGGTTTCATACTTTCATGGGCTCCATGTGCACAGGAAATTACACACCTAATATTCCATGTGAACATGACAGCAATTAGGTGCCCCAAAGAACAGCAACACATTTAACACCTGGGGCAGTCTGCTGTCATCAAAAAGCTCTAAAAGGTTGTGGTAAGAAAAGGTGGTAAGAAAAACACCATGCTAACAGCACCACATAGTCCTTGCTGCAACCTGCATCAGCTACATGAGAAGCACAGCAGGGAGGCTGTGTCCAGGGCTAAGTGAGAAGCTGTTTACGCTTCCCCAGCTTCTTCACAGCTGCTGAACTGGTTTCTTTCAGTCACATCAGAGAGGTTAATGGCATCACACACTGCAAGGCCTTGGAAATCTGAGACATTAAATACTAAACTACAACAGAACAACAAGTCTGCACCAAAGAAAAGTGCCATTATCCACTCAGTGAAGGGTTTGGAGGCCATTTTAGAAGAAGGGACAACACACACAGCTACAGTGCAAGTGGCACAGAAGGTTCTACCAGCACTGTGGTGGGGAGCCCAGCTACACCTCAGCAGCCACCAGCCAGCCTCCCCTGCTGCTCCTTGGTCAGCACTCATGGCCAGGGCTTAGGCAGGGCAGAGGAACAGTTCCACAGCCTGCTCTGCCAAGCAACTATTGCACCTGCCTTTAACATCATGAAGAAAGAGTTTAGCTTCAACAGATAAAAGAAATTGTATTGAAATGTAGCACAAATACAATCAATTACAAAGCAAATGCTAGATTGCTGAAGAATGTAAAGTACACCATAATCTAACAAAACACCTAACTACATAGGCTAGACTACAGCTAAAACTTGCCCCTGAAGAGTAACAGAAAAGCAGCTTGAAAATTCCTTTTGTTAAACAGAACACAACCAGCCAGTTTTCAGTGTAAGTTTTACATCAGCAAGAAAATGTCAAGAGTAGTTTTTTTCTGTCTCCCTTTTTCAGATCTTTCAAACTAATCAAAGTTTGAAAGGAAAAGCAGAGGGAAACTGTTCTATCTGATGCAGGAATTGGATATCTATACCCTAAAACTTTTGATTTGCAATTTTGAAAGCGTTTGTCAAGAATAGGGGCCACAAAAAAATACAAAAAAAAAAAAAAAAAAAAAAAAAAAAAACCCAATTCAAACCCCACAACAATGAAAACAGTTTTTCCATTAATTGTTACCATTATTTCAGTATGACTACTCAGATGTGGATAAGCCAGTATCAGAATTTACTAGATCTAGCATCCCCAAATACCAGCAACAATTAAGCAGTGTGTAGAGCCAGCAAAATTATAGTCTTTTATATTGTCTTTTCATAGTCTTTCAGCTTGTGATTTTATATTAAGAAGTAAGCTCATCCTATATATTTAAGCCCTTATTCATTAAAAAAAAAAACTTAATGAAAGCTTTTGAGAAGTGTTTATTACACTTGCAAGTATTTGTAAACATGGAATCATGCAAAACACCAAGCCGAGATTTATCTACAAGGCAATTTAGGAAAAATAAAATCCAATCACTAAAACAAGCGTCTGCATTTGTTAATTTCTATTCATAAGAGAGGGAGGACATTTTGATTTACACTATGCTTTAAGAAATACAGAGGGGGAAAAAAACCTAACCTCTTTCAAGAGTGATGTAAAACCAGATCAAACTGTATTTCCAGCAAGCGGTTTAGAAGTAATAAAGTATCTAACTACACAATTGGCACACAGAAAAATCAAAGCCACAATACTTCCTGATTAGAAAGAAAACATGACAGAAGAAGAAAGATTACCACTTGTAAATCATTACTTAAGACTTTTTCTTTCTTTCCAGATTTATGGTCTGTGGTTTTCTCAACACTTGAGATATAACACAAGATTAAAAAAAGAGAGAGAGATTGAAACAGAATTCATATGCACTTCGAGTATTTCTTCTTTTTTTTGTGATTACATACTAAAAGCAAGTTATATGCTGCAACAGAAGGTTTTAAAAACTAGGTGATAATACTAGACTTGAAACCTAGGACTAACACTCTTGCCAAAGAATACCACTTTTTACTTTACCCTGCTGACAGAAATTTGTTCGCATCAAGTATGTTAATAATATATTTGCATCCATACTGTCAAACCATAAACAATGTGTTTTTCTAATTGCTTTTGGCCACATCTCTCAGGGGTCATTCAAAACAGGTATAACTGACAGCAAATATATGACTTATAATACTGTAAAACAGTGTTAGAATCTGCAATTTAAAAAAATCAATAAATATGGTCAAATTGGACTGCTTTGTATTTAACTGTGGCCAAAATGCAATGCATATTCTAAACTGATTAGAATGCCAATGCAAAACTGTAAATGCAGGAATTTAATTGTAAGAAATACTGTACATAAAACTGCAGAGAAACGCAATAAAGTAATCCAAACACAACTTTTAACAAGATTAACTTCATCTAGACATTCTAGATGCAGCTAAGTAAGTATGAAAAGGATAATTTTATCAAGCAGACATTCTACCTTAATAAATGCATAATGGAACATAATGCAATTTACCTCCATATACAATACCAAACTGACCAGAACCCAGCACTTCATCAGCAAATATTTGGTACACAGAGCTGATATCCTAATGCATGAAAAAAGAAATCACAAATATCAGGAGTCATTAAAATGTTCAGAACCACTTTAATTATTACTGGCTAGGAGGTAATTATATTTGGCATTAATCAAAATCTGTAAAAGGTACCATCATTACACTGAGGAGTGTAACTCCTCCAATCTTCTCCTGAAGAGGATCCACTAAGCTGCACCAAAAGCAAGGTTCATAAAAACTAACATTCATAAAAACTAACAGCCGTGGCAGGTAAGTAGGTTACTTCCTTCATATAACATGGACTTCTTTACCTACAGTGCTCTGGTGTTGCTTTCTCATCCAGACACTGCTCCTACCAATTACTTCATAATGCTCAGATAAATAAATATCACTGTAATACAATGTCGACATGACTCACCACATTCTCCTGGACCTGGCAATTTGAAACAGAGATGCTTAGAGACAATTCTTCTGCAACAAAGAAGACAAAGCCAAGTAAGTAAATAAAAAGGGCAGACTTTTTCTAAAAAGAGTGGAAAAATTAAAATAAACAAAAGCCCTTTACTGACTTCTAACCCAGTATCAGTGAAATGATTTTTCAGTTGTTTTGCAGAAACTTCAAACTCTGGAACTCATTAGATAAATAACCCTGGAAGTTTTGCTGGGATAATTTGTCTCTTTTTGTCCTATTCCTGATTACAAAAATAGTAGAACAATACAAGTGTGTACACAATAGACAGCTGGAGAACCAAAAGCAATAGCAATTGTTACCACAGTTCATTAAATGAATAACAATTTCTGGCAGCAAAAAAAAAAAAACCACAGGCAAGAGGAGCAGGTAGATCCCTCAGGGTCAAATGAATGTGGATTCTTATCTTCTGTGGCACAAAGATCTACCGAATTAATGCATAAGAAAAGTAAAGAAATCAAAGAAACCAAGTAACAGAATAACTGATAATTTAAAGAGCAATAAAGTCCATAAGAAAAAAAAAATCTTATACAGAAGCATATCAATCCTTGGAACATAAGGACAAGTTCAGGAAGTATAACTTCCAAGCAAACGTATCAGATAAAGAATTCTTTAGTCTGCAGCAGACATTGACAGGAATTTTTCATTACCGGAATAGCACTGATGCATGGGCAAGAAGAGATATACCAAGGAAGGCAGGAAATACCCTTATCTTTTGACTTCCACGGCCAAAGTAAAGCATCTCAGACTAACAGACATTTACCACTTGGAGTCCGTCTCTCTGAAGGCATTCCAGACCCAACTGGACGTGTTTGTGTGCAACCTGGACCCTGACTTGTCAGTGGGGTTGGAATGGATGATCTCCATAGGTCCCTTCCAACCCTAACAATTCTGTGATATTATGTTAACTTAAAGAAAAAAAAAAAAATTAATTCATCTACAAGGTAGATAGAAAACACACTATAAACTTACTAGCACTTTGAGCAGAGCCATTATCATCCTAAAGAGAATTTAGAGAAAAAAAGAGGTCTGATTTTTGCCACCTGTGCTTTGTCTCAAAGAAGAAATTTACAGAGAGAAGATAGGAACAGCTACTAATTCTCAAAGACATCCTGAAGTCTGCATCTGAAATACAAACTCTGAGTCTTGCAGATGCCTACTGATTACTGATTATAGTCAAGTCAGTACTGAAGTAACTGTAGAGAACACAAGGGAAAACAATAAAGAACTCAGGTAAAAAATTCCTAAGGTCAACAAAAACTGCTTCAAGGGAACTAGAAAATAAAGATACGGTTTTTGAAAGTGCTTAATAGAACACACTGGACACTTGTCCACAGATGGCTACAGAATACAAAATAACTTGGAAGTAAAGAGTGAGTTATTCCTTCCAAATAAATCCATTTTTCTACTGTCTGAAATGTGCAAGAGTAAGGGCTAAGAAGCAGTCACTTCTAAAGAAATTAGTAATGCCACAACTCCACACATAATCTACAGCAAGTAGATTCTCTCTACAGCAGGCAGGTTTCTCTCTCATTTTAGCTCAGAATCACCCCACAAAGAAACACTCCACCCCAAGCACCAGGAACGTGGTTACAAAGGATTCTTTGCCACGGGTCAGAATGGAAGAATATCCTCATTTCTACCTACCTCTGGCCACAATGCGGTATATAATAACTAGATAGTGCCTTGTGGATACTTTGATGCTACAAATTCCCTGTTGCTGCAAGTATTTCAACACCAACAATGTCTCCCTCCTCCTTTTGGTCTTTTTATTTAAAAGCATGTATATGAGACATTTTTTAAATTAAAATCTAATTATCTTAAGGGTTCTTGAGATACATTTCATGATTTACAATGTGTAGGAAGAAGAGGGATGAACAGACATTTTGTGGCTTTCTCAGAGTTTAAAAACCAACCTGAGTTGTCTAAAAATATGTAAATACCACTCCCTAACACACACTTTCTTCTATTTCTAGTACTTTCTTCTATTTCTACAATCCTAAACATATTAAAATACTTCCTCTCAGCATCTACCACTGCAGCTCTATTCCCTACCAATGTCAATGAAATGTTATTATTTACATGTGAAAAACTATTTGCTTTGGAAAAATCAAGTGTCTTTGCAAGTCTGTCAGCAACAATAAACTTTTGGTGATAGAAAACAAAGAGAATTTTCGTGTTTATATAGAGAGATATATATGTACATATATATATGAAACTAAAAATCCTGTATCAAAAGTGGCATTTTATAGATGTATAAAGCCAGGTACGAGGCACCATCTCACAGGCATGTTTCTTCACTGTAATTAAATGCCAATGTATTTCATAGTTTACTATTTTAGACCATTGCTGCATTCACAGAAAGTGCCTTTGCCTCAGACTAGCATTTACATGTTCTTAACTGTTTCTTATGCAGAGTATCCAGGTATCAGAGAAAAAGAAACTGATCTCAGAATCTACTGTAAAACAAAATTGTACTGCAAGGAGATTAAAGAGTAGCTGGAATTCAAAAGGAAAATAAAAAGTGAAAGCATAAATCTCCGTATAGAATGAGAATGAATGTTGTTGCAAGGAACAAGATGTCTTAAAAGAAAGAAAACAATATATAAGTTTAGTGGAGCTTTCATAACGAATATAATCCTATACCAGATGAAAAAAGGGAGGGAAGGTGCATAAAAAGAAGAAGAGTACTTTTTATAACTACCCACAGCTCAGAAAAAGTTTTTTACATCACTGATGGTATTTATGTCACAACACTAACTCCTTTTCTTCTCTTTAGCTACTGACATATAACAGAATTCAAAAACTATACATATATTTAGGTGCTAACATCAGAAAACATCCAGATTTGGTTCTTTCAAAGTGTATGCATATAATCTGAATATTTTTATTTAGTTATGTATATTTCTATATCTAAACTATAGATATTTCTATATCTAAACTGTGCTCCCATTTAACATCTGTGTGTGTGTTTTTAGTGGTCCCACAATAAAACTCTGCATTCTGAATTCATATTGTAAATCTGATTCTTTACTACTTTCTGCTACAATAGATTAAAGGATTTGCCCACCCTCCACAAACCTGAGGGTCACTTTTTAGAGACTCATGGAAAATGATGAACTGAATTCAGCAGATAACCAACAGACAATACTTCACTCGAAATAAGCACTGTTCCCGAAGGACTCACTACCATCAGCAGCTTCAGCATATGAACAAGAGCTCCTGATCTGCCTGCTTACTGTGATCTTTTCCTTGTCCTGCAGCAGTGCAAACGCTAGGTTGAGGAGTGACTGGCATCAAAGCCTGGCGAATGGCTTTCTCCCAGCCCTGTGCTACGTCAAGTCCAACTCCAGAGGCAGCAAGAACTGGACTGTGATGAGTGCTGCCATTGTTCTCGCCAACAAAGTACACCATCGTGTCAGTGATGATCTCAAAACAGTAGGAGTTGCTGCCCTGCACCACGTGTGAAAAATCTCGAGGCTGAGTCACCTGGAGAATTTCTGAAAGTGGAATCTCCTGAAGAAAGATATTAGAAATTAAAATATGAAAATGCACATAATATTTCAATATACTAATACCCATAACTGCAAGCATTGCAAAGAAACAAAATCAAACATATCAAAAAAACAAAACCAAAACACCAAGCTTCATAAAAAAATTCAAATTGCACATGACCACTGCACATGACCAAATGCACCCCATGACCAAATGCACAACACCCACTGCTCTGAATTCCTATATGCAAGCCTAGACAGACTTTCAGGCCCACCACAGTTCTCTCTATACAACTACTGTTTTCTACTTGAACTACATTTATGTTCATCATGAGACACACCCCCACTACATGGGAAAGTGATGCACAGCTAGAGAATGACCATTTTCCCCTTGCAGGTTATACAGCTTAGGCAGAGAAGAGCAGGAGGGAGAAAAAGTGAAACAGTAACAAACATTAAGGAGAGGATGCAGCTATACACGCTAATCAATAAGTGCTGCTTTGTGCATCAGAATCATTTTGGGTAAAAACCTTCATACAGATATAAGCAGATACAATCTGCATACAGATGCTATCCTCTACCTGGTCAGTTTAAGATCATGGTACAAGAGGATTACAGAACAGATCTCAAGGAAGAAATAGTTTCACGTTCACACTAGGTAGAGGAGGACATTCCACATCCATGGGAAGGTGCAGGTGCACATCACTTGCAAGAGTAGTGAACAAGCAGATGAACACCAGGCAGGCATTAGGAGGATAAGAGACAGCAGCTGATTGAGATGAAGATCAAATAAATGTAAAGGTAAAACTGTGAATTATTCTAACAGTGCAGACAAACAATCAGACCTAAGCAGTTAAAACAAGGGGTGTAAAGGGGCAAGTGAAATGACTAAATGCAGTGACATAATGGAGCAACAAGCAAGGAACATATTTTACCAGCTGTATTTTGAATGCACAGGGCAATATAAGTATCAGAGAGGTCTGAGAAGAGACAGCTTTGGTCAAGATAGGGATGAAAAGGATCTGGGCAAGTTTAGCTGGGTGTACAGAGAAAAGGCTTGATCTTAGAGATGTTACAAAGGAAGAAGCTGCAACATTTGGACCCCCACCTAGAGGTATAAGACAAGAAAGGGAAAAGTCCTGTTTACACATTCAAATGCATTTTCTGAATATTCCACCACCAAACACAGTCCTACACTGACAATACACTAAGCTTCATTTACATAAACATAAAGCTATACAGTAAATTTTCCCGTAAATCTTGCTTGAAACTTTTAGTTGTACAGTAGGGAATAATTTATTTTGAGGAATGTTGAAATAAAACAAATAAGCATGCAAACTTTCAGTCACTACTCAGAGAACACAAAAATCCAAGCCTTCATCGAACTGGTAGCCAAAGAAATTCTCTGCTAATTGTGAGGAAAGTATAATATGCCAGGTAATTCAGGAGAACAGTACATGCAAAAATGTAAGGAGAGACATACTCAAGGGAATTAGAGCAGGAGCTGCAAGCAACTTCTCAGAGTTAGTCTTGGTCCTTCTCACTTACAGGCTTTGGGCAACAATTAACCTGGGCACAGTTTTGATTCAAAAAGAGATGGGAAAATGGAGATAATATATAAACTGCTCACAGTAGACTTCATATGTATAAAGCACTGAATAAATCAAGTGAAACATAATTATTAATGATCATTAATTACCTTGTAATATTTTGTTCCAGATTCATTTTGAAATAATGTGAGGCATTTGCTGTCCAGTCTCCAATAATGTCTTTTTCTCTACAAAATGCACAGTACAATTACATAAGGAATAAACCTCTTATATGGCTTTTGCTATTGCATTATTTATATTTAAAACTTCTTTAAATTACTGTGATAAACATTCAAAACTTAAAAATGTTTAATCTTAGACTGCAGAAATGAAAAAATAAACTTTGGGAATAAAGATTTTGTCTTAATCAAAGAAGAAGCTCAAAAATTATTTCCAAAAACTAGCAAAAATATCACTTACCTTACAGCAAAAGTAGTGACAACAGGAGTTACCTCATATAGGAAAAAACAGTTACTAGACAGGTGCATATTCTCACAAAATCTGAATCATTTAAATTTAGTGATAACTGTGGGAGTCATGCTTTCTCCCTCTATGCCCTCATACCAGCATTACAAGGGTTCAAGTACTGAGCAAGCCTAATAAGTCCTTAATTCTTCTGTCAATACAGAGGCAAAACAGACATAGTATGAGATTCAAATGAAAAAAATACTCTGTGGGGAAAAAAAAAAAGACAGACTAAATAGTCATTTGCTGGAAGTCCATCAATAAGAAATCTCCCCCACCAAAAAGTAATGTGGATTAACTGTTGTATATAACTGTCTCATAATTTAAACAGAAGAATATTCCTCAAAACAAAGAGGCTTTTAGAAAGCTAATATGGTTGTATGAATCTAATATACTTTGCTTGCACCATGCTCATATAGTTAGAAAACCACTTCCATTTTTCTGGGAAAAAACCCAAGACCCTTAACTCTAATTTAGGATGACAAAGTTTGAAATATTATTCTATTATATTTTATAAACTTTTTCATATTAAAAACAAAGCGCTTTTTTTTTTTTTTGGCCATATTTAAGCAGAGCTTAAATCACTTCAGTCAGGGAGAAATTAAGTCAATCTATAGGAGTTTGACAAAGAAAACTAGATCTAAAATGGATTTAACTAAAAGGAGTTCCCAGACGGCACCAGGACAATGGGTGAAACCAAGGGTGAAACCCCTCTTTTTGATATATATGCTCTTTATTAAATTGTGAATCAGGAAAGACTTTGAAAGAGAGGAATTAAGGAAAAGGTTGGTAACTTATTCAGTGGTTCAAAATCTGCCCCATACCCTACTCTGAGAAAGACGGGACCAGGGTGAGAAAAAGAGCAAAGATGATGACATAGAAACTTCTCATTTTAAAGAATGAACCATCTTGTTATCAGGGAGCACAAGAAGCACACAGATCCTGCTGTGAAAATGAACCTGCCCAGTTGTTTCAGGAATAGGAAACAGTCTGACATTACTGAGAACGGAACGGTCAAGGGAAACAGCCGATGTTGTAATGCCCAATACGGAAGTCTCCTCCCATTAGGAAGCTCTGTGAGATCTTGTTTGGCTGACTATCCTTTGGGTCAGGATACTTCATTTGACTGGCCTTTTTCAGTTGATGTCATCAAGATAGCAGCCAGACTGACAGATGAAGAAAATCAAACTAAACTAAGGTTTCATCAGATCATTGTTCTAAGGCGTTGTTAAAAAAAAAAAAAAAAAAAAAAAAAGTGTCCATGGGAAAACATACTAGTTGCACTGAAAGTTTAAATCAGAGCTGCATACCAGGTCTGCTCTGAACAGTTCTGCTGGAACTATTCACCTTTGTCTGCTGACAATAGAACTATTCACCTTTGTCTACCTGACCTTAGTTATTCCATAGCCAGCTGATGATAATTGTGACTTTTACGTAGTCTTAGCTGTAAACACATCTAAAATACACTAGATACTTATTTTTGATTGTGATAAATACATCTAGGTATTAGAAAACTGTACCTTAAAGAAATGTTTTTTAAGGTAATTTCACAAAGACCATTTACAACAGTCAGTTTAGCTGTCAATCACAAAAAGTGAAAATATTACAGTAACCTGAGTTGCCTCTTATCAGCCTTCAAATTGATTTCATCAGAACTTAAATAACTTTATTTCTATAAATTCTATAAGTCTCCTTCAATCAGATGCCACCGAGATAAAGAATGAAGAAGTATTTCTGCTGCCTTTCATGAACAGTCTCAATATGCCATATTCTCCATGAGACCTGGGAACTTATTAAATTCATCCTTTTCATTTACCTATTGAAAAACAAGAGGATTGATTCACTTCCTCCCATCAGAAAATACTAAGGAACCCTGTTATTTTGCTTTGTCTTCCCCCTCAATACACAAAATCAAGTAGCTTGCCTATTCAATTAAGGTAGCATTATTGGTAGCACTGGCAACAAACATGCTTGCATACCCAAGGACATACAGTCAAGCCCCAACTCTTATAGAGGAATTAAGGACTCCCATCTACACATAACTATTTACAAACACCTAGACCATTAGAATAACCATTTCAGTACACATAATATTCTTATGATTTCCACCTTTTTACATAATAGAATAGAAAAAGAGACACAAGTATTTAGTTCAACTACTAAAAAGAAAGACAAACAAGTTATTTTAAATTACTTTCTCATGAAAGCTGAAACACTACATATGCAATTCATTTGAGATCATGTAGAGATGCTTTTCCTTCTTAAGAGGAAAGTACTGTTCAGTCACCACATGAAGAATTTTGAATAAATTACAGTTTCTCCCTGGAACCAGATTTCTTTACAATGAACATCACAGCTAAATTCTTTCAACTGATACTCTAGATCAGAAATAAAACACATTAGTTTAGAGAAAAACTTAATTTAGGAAGAAACTGAAGTAACTGACCAGGTTGTCTCTACTAGTGTAGTGGACCATCCATCCTTCTTTCACCATTGTACTGCTCTTCCTCTTTGTGTGTTTGATCGACTGTACAACTCGCATGAGAGGAATATTATTGCTTGTTGAAGGACTAAAAAGAAGGTACAACAGTTTAATATGTAACAAGTTAAAATACAACAGTTCTGCAATTATACTTGTTTTACACAAGTCCATAATTTTCACTAACAGACACCTTTTCTTCCCATACAGCTTTAGTTGATGGATGAATTTGATAAGTTATCTGAGGTCCTACTAAGTCTCCTAGGGCAAGTATTGCAGTACTTAAGGAACAGAGAAGAAACACACTGGAGTCAGGACACCTACAGAAATTATCCTCTTTCAAAACAATCTGCTGAGACCGCTAGTCTTTTATGCCATTTTACACCACAGAAATATAATTAACATCAGCATAACTTTCATTTCTTCTTGTCTATGTAAGTTGATTATGCTGCTTCATAACGTTGTTAATGAAGGTCCCTATCAAAGCAAACCTTCAGCTTATGAAAACATAAACTGGAACGTGTTAACTCATATCACAACTGCACTAACAATTCTATCAATGCTAAGGTATATTAACTGTCCTGCAGACAAAGGTTTGATAATCTCTAATATTCTGAGAGCGCCATTAATTAAACATACAGGTTTTAATAGCACTGAAAATTAAGCTAACCACCGAGGTGCCTGCCTAACACCAGAGCTCTACACGTGGCACTAACAGATGTATCTGTAAACACATATAGTGAGGTAGTCTCAAAACAAAAAATGTTAACATGGCATGTTGTTACACTACAGAATTAGCTATAGGATGCTGTCATACCAAAAACCTGAATTGCTTCAAATCTGATTAGAAATAAATGGAAAAATCCTACTTAGAGATAGATGTTGCTTCCCACTCAGGAGATTTTTGAGCTATAAATCACTGAAAGTTGAGAGGTATCATTATATGCTCTCCCTCACAAATTTGCTATTAAGCTCTGAGATACAGTGATGTTTAGTTTGACCAAATAAAACTGCACTTATCTTATTAAGAATGACTAAGAAAATCAGGATGACACTACTCAGAATATAATAGAGAAATAAAAAGATCAAATTTGATTTAAGGAACTATGTTAACAATTATTGGATAAAAGACTTCAAAAAAATCGCTTTCAAGATAAATAAAGCAAACTATGCATAGCCTATGCATAACATGCATAGACTATGATGCCAATATTAAAATATATTCATATATTAAAATAAATGTTTTTAAATAAATAAATAAAAATATTAAAATATTCCACATCCCATGTGTTTAAATCCACACATATATAACAGTAACTAAATTAGGCTCTAGGCACAGAGACCTTAACCACACATTAGCTTTGTTAAGCCATAAGTTTTATCCTGCTTTAATAATCTAGTTGAATTTCTTCAATAACTCTCATAGCATAACACTTTTTCCAATTAGAAGAGGCTATATTCTTTCAGTCTGTTTTAGATTTTCTTGAGATAGGAGACCCTTACAAAGTATTTTCAAGCTAAAAAAAATAAGAAACCCCACATAAAGGGAAAATACACTTTCAGCAATAAAACTGGGCTAATTGGAAACACTTTGCTCACAATATTCAGCAACACCTATCCTCAGCAAAGAAATCCATCCTATAACTTACCTGATTGTTTTGACAGCTTCCTCATCTTTGTCTGCATCGAGGTCAGATGGATCCATAAAAAAGATTTTGTCCTCTGGAGGAGAGGGCTCCTCAGCATCATCTAGAACTCGACTACCATCACTGTTCATTTCACTGCTATCAACTTCCATCGGCATATCCAAGTCCTGGCCTGGGCTAGCAGGTTCTGGAAACAACACAAGTGAGACATTATTTCAAACACACTATTAAAAAAATACATAAAATCCTCCAAAACTCACCTTTTTTTTTTTTTTTCCAGTTCACACCTATGGAAATAAACATAAAACTACAATCACAATATACAAGATCTTCACCCTTTTGCTGTAAGATGTAGAATACACTAATGAACATTATCAATTTCATTTTGCTAAATGCCATGGCAAGAGAGACCCAACTAAAACACAAACCATACCAAAAGAAACAGAGTGAAAAGCTTAAAGTCTAAACCTACATCTCATTAAGTAATTCTGTTCCACAAGTAATCAGGACAAAGTAATCTTTCAATGGCTAGAGAAGACCCAGAGAATTATTCCTGTGCAAATGAAATTATCCATTAACAGCAACCCAACTCTGCTCTCCCTGCTCTTGTAGTCCATAATAAGAAAAGTAAGAAAGAAAAGAGGGTCTGTGGAATTGCACGAAAAGGGTAAAGCAGAACAGATCTTATTCACCTCTGATTTTCTGCAGGCAGAAATTTAGTGTTTTCAAAAGCTGTAGAATTGGTACTGTGGAAAACTAAGAATTCAGACACAAAAATATCTTAATCTGTAGCCTTTTTATGGTCTTGTTTGTTTGTTTGTTTGCTGGTTTGTGGCGAGTTGTTTTTGTGTTTGTTTTTTACCTGGAGTGAGTTCAATTAAGAGTGTGAGAAAAAAAAAAAAAAAAAATTCTCTTCACATCTTCAGAAGAATTTCGTTAAACCATAGTTCCAAAACTATGTGGCCTTTAGCACCTTAGCATCACAAGGGCAGTAACACCAGGCTGCAGAACATCATGTTGCACACTGCTGTTCACAGCCAACCACTTCAAGATCCAGGAAAGAGCCTGGGAGCTGGAGAAGGTTGGCATGAATGGATGGGGTATATTGTGCAATGACAACAGACCCACTAGCTAACACAGCTGTTGCCCAAGCCTCTGAATCAAGTTGTACAGTTTGATGTGATCTGCTCCACATCACCAACTTTGTTTCACTAAAAACAAGTGGCAACACAGCCACAAAATGGGTTAAGTTGGGGGAGATTTTTAAAGGTCACCTGGTCCAACAACCCCACAAGTTCATTTCTCCAGTCAGCTGAAGTTCCTCAGGATAGCAGTACATAACACTCTGTCGTATCAACCTGTCCTCCCATCACCCGCAAACATGCTAAAGGTATATACTATGCCTCATCAAGATCCTTAATGAAGACGTTGAACAGGACTGGACCCTTTGCTGGTCCATGGGGTACACCATGTGTTACTTGCCATTGATAATCACTCTCTAGGCCCACCCATTCAATCAGTTTTTAATCCCTACCTGCTCATCTATCCTATATTTAATCAGCTTAACAATGGTTTAAAGCTTACAAAAATACTCTACACATTCTTCCACAAAGTGTTCCACATGTTCCTCTTTCAATTCTGCAAGACCTATTCAGAAAGCAGTCCTAGTTCATTGTGGTTTCCAGAAATTAGAGGGCAATTCTTTATTTGGTTTGGCTTGGGGTTTTTCTCCTTTCTCTTTTATCTCAAACACCTCAGCTAACTGGCCAGTAAAAATCATGAATATGAGAAAGTCATAAAAAATGAAATGTGTATGAACATGGTGAACAATGAGCAGACTGATCACAACAAATCTTGAAATTTTGTACATTGGGGTGGCTTCTAGATTTTTCATCTCCATTGAGCAATCCCAAGCAAAGCATAGTGAACTTGTCAAGACTGATTAAGTAAAATTTAAGTCACTAGAGTGCAAGTTTTACAGTTAATCTTTCATTTTAACTGAAAAAACGGGCAAGATAAATAAAAATATGTCAAATATTCAGAGATGAGGGAACTAAATACTACTGCATCTTATTCAGCCTCAAAACATCTCTCACTCTTTGAAAGCATGTTTGTCATCTTACCTCCATTGAAAATAACCTCTCCAAGACAGTCTCGAGGTACTTTAGGTGCACAGCGTTTGTGACAATTGAACCTGCAATCTAAAACAGCAGATAAATAAGCCCATGATATCAGAACTCACTCCCACTCAGACACTAAAATTTACCATTCACTTCTTCCAACACTAACTTCAGTTCAGATTCATAGATTTACATGTAACTGAAGACAGCACCAATGAGGTCACCCTCAGGAGGAAATTAGCAATCTTGTCCTTATGTCACATGTTGATTTGTCCCACCACTATTTATTACCTCAGTACTTCCCCTTCCAGTACAAAATTGTTTGCTACTTCTGTAGCTTCTTCTGCAGCTATTTTTTCCTTCATGATGTAATTTCTCCCATTCTTTCATTTGTTCCACATCCTTTTTTCCATTGCTATATGATTTAACTGTCTCATCTGTAACATTTTTCCCCACCTGCCAACTAAGACTTGCAGACATCAGAGGTCTGATCACGTAACATCTATGATCACACAACTACATCAGAGCAAATATGTTCTGCAGCAAATCCCAAAGTCCAGCTCCCCTCTCATTCAGGTTACAGATTTGGCTGACTATTCAAGCTCCATTTCTTGCTGATACAGGGCAGACAGAATAACATTATGTCCAGAGTTGGCCTGATGTGGAGATGGAATCTCACCTGGATGTGTGCCATTTCTGCATCCGAGGTACCAGATGCAGCCTACTGAACCAAGTCCAGCATACAACATTACTGGTAGTAACAGGAATTTCATTTATTAGTTTTATCCCTGTGATTTTCAACTCCATCAATACCATGAATTTCAAAACTCGCTACTGCCCCCACAACTGTTTTCATATTGATAGTAAAACCTCTTTTTGCTATCCAAAATAAGCTTAATATGTTTTTCTTTTAAGCCTAGACAAGAGAAAAACCATTATCTCTCCATTTTTAGTAGCAGAGGAGCCAAATTCTGGAGCAGAATACAATATTTTTCAGCTTCTGAGTGCCTAAAAAGATGCATCCTAGGAGACCCATCAATAGTATTTTACAGCCGTGGCTTCAGTCCATATTAACAAATACAATTACTTCACTACTTTAAAGAAGGCTGGAAGAAACAGAGACACTTCAAATCCTGTCACGAAACTCAAAGACTGAGTCTATCCTAAAAAATTAAACTATATTCAGAAACATTCCTGGATACTGCAATGCAATTCTCTAGTCTAGTAAATAGCTACAAACATCCCCAAGCATGCTTTTGGCCCACAGCATTAGCATTATCTCAAACAGTTCCAATGTCTAGCTCATAAACCAGAGCATCCTATGAAATTGCTCCAATCAGTCTGCAGATGCATAGAACCACCCAGACTGGGATGCTAAGAAAACTTATTCATGAAAATGGGTCATTCTGTCCCAGCTGACCTCAGTGTCCAGGAATGTTTCTGGGCACATTTCATTTATTACTACAAATACAGCCTTAGCATCTCAAACATCATCCTCAGAGCCCAGACAGCAACCTGAATTAAAAGAAGAAATCCAGGACTCTTACAGGTAATCAGAAACATAAAACTACTAAAAGACCCCAAGCTTTTTGAACGTGCACAAGGAAGTTAGTGGGAAATCTTAAGAATCTGTAGGGAAAATCAGTATGAAAACATTTGAACTGCTTGATAACAATTCCTGATATATTAAAAATTAGTATAGGAACTTACTGCATAAAGAGAGGCCTATTAAGACATTTATTTCTGTCCTGCACCTATATATGGCATTTCTCTAGACTTGTTTTCCATGCATAAATGCTTGGAAACATGCATACAAATAATATTTTTATCCAGTGCCATTCAATTCCCTGAAACTGATGTGGTAGCCCCATTTATTCAGCTGGATACAGTCATAGCAATTGCATATGGCTAGCAGCATCTGTATGTTAAAACCACAAGGCATCTTTTTCAGGCTTCATTATTTTTGTATCATGTGTATTTAAGAGACACACTGACTGGAAAAAATATCAAAACCAGTTCAGAATGCAGACTTCAAACTGACTAGAAAGACTGCAAATAACAACAGAAATTAAAGATAAAACTATTTCCTTACATGAGACAGCAGTATTCCTAGTCCAAAAAAAAGGTTAAAACAGCTGTAGGCTTACAATTTTTCTCTAATATAAAGCAAACAGAAAATGTATTAAGTGACCTCTCTTAAAAAGCTGACCTTTGATATTCCTGTTTGACAATCTCACATGAGAGAAATGGAAACTACTTTCCATATTAATGTTTATGATTCATCACTACACTTTTGTTTCCTGCAACAAAGCCAACAGATCTGCACTAACTAGTAATAAAAAGCCAGTAGGAGATCACATTAGTTATGCTCTAGGAACCACGTGGAATAGCGTGAGAATTGAAGCCATGCATGTTAACATATGTTACATAAAAACCATGCAAGTTCAGCAGAGTCACCTACCTCCAAAAGGTAACAATCAGTATCCTGTACTAGAATAATACAATGAAAACTCATAGGAGTCACTCTAGAATACAGATATTGAACAGAAGGAAGCATTTCCCATTTTCACTAATTCATAATTATCCTTCTAGAATTACAGTGATTTCAGTCTACACAACTAAGTCTTATTTTTCATAAAAATGTACAATGCGTAGCTTACTATAATGAAAATGAGGGCTGCTGTGATCTTCTGAAAATTATGCAGTTTTTCAAAACTTACATGTCCCTATTTTGCAGTATACAGCCACCTAAGTTGCAATCATTTTTAAATACAAGACCTTTTTTTTTTACTGAAATATACTGCTACAGCAGAAAATTAAGCATTTACCTTTACACTGCATTCCTTGGCGAAAAAGGCCCTTAAGCAGCCGTTTGCAATACTGGCAGATGGTGGGACGAGTGTAAGAGTGAACAGCAAAGGTGTGTGGGACCTTCACTCTGCAAAGCACCATCTTATCCATCCAGATAGGGCGGCCACTCCAAGAGGGAATCCTCTTACTAGGTTCTGGGCAACAACGCTGAAATAAAAAAGGAATATGTAATTTGTACCAGAACAGTTCTGTTGCCATGACTGCTTTGAAAAGTCACAGCAGTCAGGTGAATTGGAAAAAGGCAAAAACTGCAACCATTTTTAAAAAGGACAGAATGGACAACCCTGGGAACCACTGACCTTTCAGTCTCCCCTCTGCATCTGGTAAGATAACAGAGATCCCTACTAGAAGCTATGCTAAAGCATTTGAAAAGCACACAAGGAAGTGATTCAGGACAACCAGCAGCCTTCCATGATGGAGTGACTCCATCAGTGGGCAAGAAAAGGGCTACAGGTGTCATTTCTCTGGAATTCTGTAAACCCTTTGACATGGTCACCATAACATCCTTCACTCTAAAGTGGAAATATGGATTAAATGGGCAGACTTTTAGGAGAATAAGGAATTGGCTGGATCGTCACATCCAGAGGGTAGTGGTCAATGGCTCAGTGTCCTGATAGACATCAGCGACAAGTGGTGTCCCTCAGGGTTGATACTGGAACCAGAGCTATTAAATGTCTTTACCAATGACAGACAGTGGGAGAGAGTGCACCCTCAGCAAGTTTGTGGATGTCACCCAGCTGAGTGGTGTAGCTGGCACACTGGAGGGATATGATGCCATCCAGCAGGACCTGGATAAGCTTGAGAAGTGGGTCCACGTGAAACTTCTGTAGCTCAACAAGGCCAAGTACTGGCCGTGCACCTGGACTGCAGCACTTCCCTGTATCAACACAGGCTGGGGATTAGTGTCAGCCCTGCTGGGAAGGACTTGGGGGTCCTGGTGGATGAAAAAAAATGTCAGTGGGGCTGTAAGGGAGGTGTTGGCTCCAAAAGTGACCAGACAAGAATGCAACCTGGTCAAGAAGCTTTAAGAGGACTTTCTGGTATTGTAAAACAAGACCATGGAAATAGCAGATGGAAAAGTCTTACAGAAAGCAGGAAGTTATGTATGAACTTTATTTCCACAGAAGATAAAATGCTAAAAATTCACTCATGACATTCATTTTTTGAGGAAGCTGACAAGGTGCAGACAGTACATACAAATCTCCATGCAGAAGGTAAAATGGAAAACACTGGAGGCAGGCAAACCAAATTCCAATCACCACCTCAAACTATCAGTTTTTAAAAGCAAGGTATAGCATGCTGAATAGCTTACGAAATTAGGCAAAAATATTTAGAAAATTCAAAAATTATTTAGAAAATTAAACCCCCATAAAAATTATTTTCAATTAAAAGAAAAACATTAGCAATTAAAATAGAAGAGGCATTGCCTAAAATGAAGAGGTATCAAAAAAGTACTTAACATGCACATAGAAATCATAAAGTTAAATTCTGTGATAAATGCTTACAATTCTATGTTCACTGAGTAAATCTTACCAGTGGTCTCAAACATCAGAATAAATATTTTTCATTACTCAAGAATAAGCTTTTATAGCCTCTAGCTAAAAAAATCATGTTCTTGAACTAGACTATATGACTTGTATTTTAAATTGCGATAAGAATAGTTATAGTGTAAATAGTTATAGAAAAGCCTAAGGCAGAAACAAATGGATCTAATCCCTGCCTGCCCTGTCTTATGACCCAAATGCAGTTAGGATATACTTGATAATTGATATTTGTTATGTAATTGATAACCTCTCAGCAATCATCACAACAAGAAACTACTATGGATGTCTATTTTTACTGTAAGCTCTTCCTCCCCCTACACCCTCTTTGATAGGGTTTGGGGTTTTTTGGATTAACTCTGTGAAAAGCTTAACAGCAGATCAGGACCACTTCCCCAGTATTAAAGCTTACAATTTGTACTGCTTTGGCCAAGTAACTAATCAATGCTGTTACAATAATTACAGAACTAATCTGTATTACTAAGAAGGCAAGATATTTTATCATTCTGAAGCCAAAGTGCTCAGAATTTCAAATAACCATGAGTAAAAAGCTAATAACAAAATTGTATATAAAATTTATATTTATTTCCTGTTGCACCTCTCATAGTAATAATAAGCAGTAAATGTCAAAGTCTAAGAATCACCATATTTCAAAATTACTAAAACCGATCATAATGGTTAAGTTTGACTCCCACATACTCATCATGAGCCACTTAAAACACTATCTAGTTCTCCAGAGGTTAAAGAATTTAAAACAGAAATTGTTTCTCCTGTCACATTACATACTTCTTCAAAGGCAGAGGATGTGTGTTCAGCTTGTGCTGGTCTTGGAACTGAAAGCCCTGCTCCTGGTAAAGACACGTTAGACAGGCGCCTCTTCCTCACTCCACTACAGTTGTTTGGAATTTTGAAGGCACATCGCTTATGGTAGTTTAACCCACAACCTGGAAGAGGAGTTTGTTTATTAAAAAAACCTCTCAACATTCAAATAATAAAAACAGTACTAATATTTTGATAAAGCAGTTTTAAAAAGATGACCCAGGAAAATGGTAAAGGCAGAAATAGACTGTTGTGTCAAATTCTCTTATTTTAGTGTTCTTGATGCGATTCACAAGAACAGCTTTTTCTCCAGCAAGCTCAGTTCTAGTAACACTTGGAAGCAGCTGATCTCCCACCATCAGGAGGCTTTCATCACTCCCTCACTTTGGAGCACAAGAACCAAGAAGAATTCAGTGAGAAGTCAGTGTTAGTACCTGATATCAGGCTGCAGAGTGCTCCACAGCCAGATGGATGAAAGCCATAAGGAAAGGGACTCCCCTTTGGGAGCCTCACCAAACTATGTGTTCCTTGTGCAAAGAACACAAGGTTGTAAGCTAAATTTTTTTAAAGTGGGAAACAACAACACTTCTTAAGTCATTAGCCCAAGATCATGCAGAGTTTGCATTAATGCCAAGATCAGAACTTCTGTTTTCCAATGCACAAACCCTTCTAGCTAGGAAATATTGTATTTATCACTTGCTAACTTACCAAACATGGTACAACTTCTTCTTCCTCATCTTATATAGATACACACACACACAAATACACTAAATATAGACTTACTTACCCTCACATTTTAATCCTTGTCGTACCAAACCCCAAAGCATCTCTCCGCAGTAGTCACAAAAAGTAGGAGCCTTGTAGGAATGCACATAAAGTGCATGAGGACGAATCTGGAAATCTTCAACTGTAGCCAAAGCTTTTAAAAAATTGCAGTAAGTTACAGCTCTTGCCACAGGATCAACAAGGATTTATGGAAAGAACATATTTTAAAAATGGCTAATTTAAAGGATGCTGACAAGCTATTTAGAAATCAGCATTTTACTCTATGTAATTCAAATATGCATTTAGGAGACTACATGGTTCTCAGTAAACATTTTTATTGAGGAAAAACATGCATTGAACTCTGTGACTAATGGTCCCAACGAATCAACAGTACAAATCACTCTGTTGAAAACCTCACTAAGTTGAAGGCAGGTACAAGTTTTGCTAAATGCAACACAAAATGTTTGAAGGAGCAACTTAATTTTCAAGCTGTTTTGTAACCTATGAAATTTTCAAAAAAAGACAGTTCTACAAAATAGAACTTTTGCAGTAAAAGCTTATTAGATTAAACTCAGTGTATCAAAACAGAACTGTGGATAATGTTTCCACAGAACACTAAAATATTCTTTTCCTTAAACAAGCGTAGATATATTTCAATTATTTTTGTCGTGTTTCTTTGAGGGGAAGGGAAAAAAAGGTATTTTACATCAAGATTGCCTTGTCCTGATGGCCACTGGTTTTTCATCAGACACATACTAACACTCCCTATTCAGATTCTTATTTTAAAAATTCTACTGAAAGAGATTTACATGTCTTCAAAATTCCTCAGTTTCGGGTGGTCTGACTGTCTGTAAGGAAACTGTCAGAGATTGCCAAGAGTCACACAACAATTTTTCCAAATATGCTATTCACCAGAAGCAATGAAAAGCTCAAAATAAGATGATTGATTACTGAACATCTTAGACATGCCCTGAAATGCGGCCAAGGACTCAGCCTTACAGCTATCAAATTCATACTTTATTGACCAAGTTTACAAATCTAAGCTCATGACCGCCAAGAAGTCTCTCCTCCTACATATAGTCACAGTTTGTCACTTTACCCTCAAATACTTTAAAAACTCCTCAATACTAGTCCAGCTTTTTTTTGTAGTTAAACTACAGCTGACTTTTGATAGTATTTGACAAAGTATTGAACAAACATATACAACGACAATAAGGGCTGGGGTTATTTTGTCCTTCTTATTGGCTAATAACCACCACTCTAAGGACTATATTGTTCAAAGAAATCATTTTTAAGAACTACAATAACCTGTAAGAGTCTCTTTTTATAGGCATAACTCAGCAACATTTATACGAAGTCTTATGACAGCACTTAAGCCATCAATAGCAAAAGCTACAGAACAAAAAGACAAATATAAGCAAAAGAAAACCCACAACAGTTGGAAGAACAAATTCTGAATCCTACCTGCAATTCACCTTAAACAATTATAAAAATTAAAAACTGATATTATTATACTTATAAATTTGTATAATTCAGATTTGTATAATAATAAATTTGTATCATTCAGATTTATTTACAATAATAAACCCGAATAAGATTAAAACAGAACAATAAAAAAAATTTAAAAACTAAGTACTGAAGCATCAGTGACACTTGGACTTTCTTGGAAACCTCTACCCCAAAGTATACCAGACCTAAGTGAAAAAGCTCAAGGCAGGCATAAAAATAATGCTCCATGAAGCCCTATTTTCTTTTAATCTACTGAACGAAGAGTTGTTCCACTGTTAAAATAATACCTACCAGAGAGTACAACCTCAACAAGATCTCCCTCATGTATCTCTTCTGCTGATGTAATTCGTTGCAAAATATTAGCTGAGTTCAGGTCATGGCGGAACAGGAGAATTTTGTCATACATGCCAAAGAAACCACACTCTGGGAACTGCAACAGAAATCAAACTCTAAATTAATACATGCTCTTTGATAATCCTATATATCTATGTTTTTAATAACACCTACAGAACTTAAGAGTTGTAAATGTTTCATGGTACAAAATTAATCTGATTATTTTTGAGGAAACAAAGCATTTTCTGAAAATTTATTTTGTTTTTTACCTGAAAAAAAAGAAGTGTTAAGGTTTTTGTTTCTTTTGGTTTTTAATCTCTCAGACCTGCACAATCAGTCTGGTAAGTAAAAGCCAATACAGGTCTTTACCTTGGATATCACCACCTATAACCCTTTTTTCACAGGTATTCTGGTCAGGCAGGTATTTAGCTTGAGACACCCCAGCAGCACCTGCCATACTTTTCATGAGGAGTAAGCCAGTAAGAGGCTCCATATCATAGTTCTACAACAGTTTCAATCTACAGATATGCGAAATCTCAAGTAACATGCTCCAGAGGACACTGCTTCAACAGGAAAGTTGAACTCTATGACCTCCAGTGATCCCTTCCAGCATTACCCATTTTCCATGATTCTGTGAAAAGAAAAACTCAAATCCCCACACAGACGGAAAAAAAAATCCATACATTAAATAATGTACCACTTTTCCATGACACGTCACTGAAAAAAAGCTTTCTCATTCTGTATTTTCCCTACTCATTGAAGGTTTTCTCATTTGATATTTTCCCTACTCTTCAAAATACTGTCAAGTGTAAGTAAAACTTCTTAAAATGAAAACTTCTTAAAATGAAAAGCTTAAAAGTAAACAGTTCATGGGGAAAAAGAGCAGGAACAGACCCTGGAGAGGAATGAGCAGCACTCAAGCAGCTCCTTTGACCTTTTGGTTTAAACCAGAATTCAGACTTGAGGTGGGAACACATATACAAAACAAAACAGGAAAAGTGTGGGAAAAAATATGGAAAAGTTCAGAAAAAAACTTTTAATTAACAAAGTAACAAGTTAGTCGTTTACACGTCACAAAGTCAATAGTATCTAAACAGCATGAAGCTTGTGGTATATTAATTGCTCTTAATTAAAATCAAAGATTTGTTCTACCAAATCAAAAACATAATGAAGGTATCGTATCCATCGTGCCCATTGTTTCCACACTTTCCCCTCATTCAGAGAAAAAATAATGTCCTCTTTACAGCAGCAATTTTATCTGAAATTGGTCAAATTAAGTTGGTCTTCTCTGTTTTGGTGTGTACATACTACATAATTACATAACACATAATACTGAAGAAGGCCATGCACCAGAAAGCATCCTATCTATCTTGGACAGTCACAAAGAGAGGCAGAACTTGTACAACTTAACCCTTGCAAAAGCAAAAGACAGAGCTGACAAACCTATACTGACACATAGGTATTCAGTCCACAGCAAGAAGAAACTGATTTATAGGGCTGATGCCAAAGCAGCCAGCTGCTTCCTCTGTCTCTCAACTCACTCTCAGGTTTCCTACATAAAATAGCAAATATTCATGAATATTCTGAAAATTACATTTTTCCAATTGCCCAAAGATCATTTGTAATACGAAAGAAAATGTAAAGCTTAAGAATTAGCTGTGCTGCCCAAACATGTGTCTCAGTATCTCTTGCAAGTATGCGAAGGACTTGACTTTATATTCTGAACATGCAAAGATACAGCCACTGGTAATTCTTCCAAGGGAACTGACATTTCTTCATAACTGAAACCACATCATAAACTTACTTTAAGCTCTAACCCAAAATTCCACTGTGCCTTTATTGACAAGAAAACAAGATACATTTACATTATTAAAATAAGTGCTGTGAGGTTTATTCCTTGACACACTGCTAACTTCTGTTAATTGCATTATACTGCTGAAGAACTTAATTCTAACAGAAGGTATATAAAATCAACATTACAACAGTATATATCTGCCTGCAGATACACATGACACTTTTTAAGAACACCAATATTAATTTCAGATGCCAGGAGGGACAACCCATGACTCAGGGAATCACATGAACTATTGTCTCTTCATAATTAAGTTCACAGAACCACCAACAAATGACAAATTTTAAGGGAGCCTCTAAGATATTTCACAGGTTTGAGTCTCCTTCTTTTAATAAAGATATGTCTTCCTCTTTTATTTTTTTTCACTCTTTAAGACCATAACCCTGTCATGCAGCTGACAGAACATTCCCACATATAATCCCCCACCTCAGTAACCAGAGGTCACATAATCGCCTGCCAAGCAGCACTTATCTTAATTAACCGCTATGACAAAATATATTCTGTGCACCATTTACCCATTCCCATATAAAAATCTTGGATTTATTAAAATGTGTTAAACATACTACATTCATTTTCATTACTAAAAAGCATTAGCTGGCAAAATAAACTATAGTTACAGTTGAACACTCAAGCCCTCTTTGTGACAGCAGGCATAATCGCTAAACATTACATCCCTTAGAAAGCAGCAACAACATTAATCCAAAGTTTGAAAATAACATTATAACACCTATAATTAAGATTTTGGTTTTCAAATAAATTCCAGACAAAGGCAAAATTAATTTCTATAGAGTAGAAATATTGTGAAAAAGCAAAATCACCTATCACAGATTGTTAGAACTGTTGATATCAACATCCTCATTTGGTTCTCCATTAATTAAACTGACCTTTTAAGCTGTGTATCATGAATGCTTCTCATACTGCCATGTACGCTTTATTGCCCAGTTCTTCTAAAACAAATATACATACACATAAAAGAAGTGACAGTGAAAGATTGTCTGGTTTTGTAACTCTAACATTTAACCTCCTTAAAAGGTATTTCTTCCACTTAAAAACTTTATCAGTGGCTTCTAGACTAAGATGCAGAATCACAAGCTCACAACTAACAAGGGAATAATCTATAGTAGTATGGAGTACAAGAATTCTTTCACTAAACACAGACTCTGTATACAGTTTCTATAGTATGCGACAAGACTGCACCAGGACACATTTTTCTAGGCATTGTACGTGCCTGATCTCCATTTCTGAAATAATAATTCCAAAAGCTAAAAGGATGAGAAGAGACTCAGCCTATTCATTAGCATGGAGAGCTTCAGTTGCTAGGAGGTTTTCCTGAATCCATAAGTGGGACTGGCAGCAGCTGAGGAACCTCACAGCAGCTCCTTTACCTGTCCTGCTTGTGAGGTGCTTGTCTGCACATTCACAAAGCAGCACAGAGGAAAAGTGCAGGTGGGGGAAGCCCATCAACACCCTGCCCAGGACCTCCCAGGCCTCCCACAGGAGCCATCAGGCCACCCAAGGCCCATTTCCACAAGCCAGGGGAGCACAGAGAAAGAAGGACAGGTAGGAACCCATGGAAAACATACCCTGGCCTTCACAGGACATCCTTAGACCCAGTTTCCACATGTACACTGATCAGGTAAGTCAATATTAGAACACCTTTTGGCCTGAGAAGGGTTGCACTCCAATGGTATGGTACAGATTATAAAATGCTGGGAAATTAGGATTGTACAACACCTATGGAATGTTTACAGAAGGCAACAAAGGCAAAGAAAGAGGTGATTCAGGGAGGAATAAATGTGGGGAAAAAAATCGAGGGATAAGAAGATAAAAGAGGCTATTCACCTGTAAACAGGGGTTGGTCAGAACAATTGTCTGATCATGCCCTGTGCATCATCAGCACCACCCATCCTCTATTCTCATTAAATTCAATTTCTAGCTATTTTCCTGAACGATTTTCTCTCATTCTGAGCCCGTGTGTGTGTAATGGCTGGGGGAGGGGAAGTTCTAACTGTCAGCAATCAGAGCAAGTGGACCTTGTTATGTCAGTGACTGGAGAGACCAGAGAAAGTGAAATCAAGAGCTTGAATATCCAAGCGTCAGCAACTGAAAAGACCAAGATCCAGCAGCTGCTACTGAAGTAGCAGATAGTGCTTGAAGCCAGCTACTGGAGACACCCATCTTTTTTTGTTGCTACTTTTTTACTGGTGGGTGAGTGGGTACATGTCTGTACATCTTTTTCCCCACTACCAGACCTCCATCCTGAACCACCAGAGACTGATACAGCATGGGACCACTGGTGCTGTTTGTGCTCACAGACAGACACACTGTTGATCTGTTCAGATCTGTACATATACATGTATGAGTTGCACACCTGTATCCAAATGCTAGTGTCTATCAGCAATATGTGGTCAGTCTTGCTGTCTGTAGCTGCACATAAGGACAGAGCTACAGCAGCCTCCAAGTTCAATCATACCTAATAAAATTTTCAAGTTAGATGAACTAATCCCGCTCTTTCCTTACACACTTCCCCCCGACCCCCCATGTTACAGTGCACTCGGGCTATGCTTTTCCCCATTTCCAGGGACCCCTGTGACTCTGATCAGATAAGCCTGGTCCCCTTTCCTGCCCTGACGGGGTTGGCAGAGAGCCAAAAGAGCCCTCCCTGTCTAGAGCCTAGATAAGCCCATAATCCTTCCCGTTCGCCCTCTTTCCCCCTCTTTTTCCCCCTGGACCTCATGGAATAAAGAAGCTGGACAACCACATCGGGGTGAGATCCTCTTTTGAATCTTTGCCCATCTCCTGATGTTCCTCCCCTCAAGGCCTCATATCTCTGGGCTAACCTAATAATTTGGGGCTGAGAGAGGTAGAAGCATCACCCCCACAAAAAAAAAAAAAATCCCACTTAAAAAAACACAGACCCTACCAGGAAGATGCCTGCCTCCCAACTCTTTCCACACACTGGCTCAGATTCTTCTCCTCTGCCCCCACTCCAGCCTCGTGCACCCAAGCCATGGAAGCACTGGCTGGCTGTCCTCCCCACGGCCAGCTCTGATGAGCTGCAGGTGGCCCTGCAGAGCCCTGTCTAAGGCACTTGGCCAGGCCTGGATGCAGGGAGCAATCAGCTCCAACCAAGCAGCTTGGCTCCTTACAGGCATGCGGCGCCCTGCTCTCTCTTCCACTTCCCAGTCCATTCAGGAATACAGCATTCCTTGCTAGCACCTTGGCCAGAAGGCTGTGTGCAGCCTGCTGGCCAAGAATAACCTCATTGATTAACAGGGGTTTTATTTCAAGTGGTATCTTTTAACAGAATTTTTACGCAAAGCTTAAGCTATGTTCAATAGTTGAACTATATTCAAGTTGTACACTACCAAATTCTTCTCTCTTGTGCTGCAGCAAAGTACAGCTTTTATAGCTTTCCTTATGCTCAGTTACATGAAGCTGTTAAGGAAGAACATGATCCAGTTCCTTTGAAGTGTTAAGAGCTCATAATGTAAACTTGAAAACAAAACTCAAAGCAGAATTTTTTTAAGTCTGTTTTATCTTACGGGATTATACAGCTATTACTTTCCTGCATAAAAGCCTAATGTATCTGCACAGTTACTCAGAACATACAAACTGCTAATCCCAGTATTACTAAGTTTCCTAAAAGCAAAAACATGACTGTTCCCAGTCTTAACAGTTCCAAAAGAGCATCTAGTGACAGGAAATCACTTGTGGGAAGCCTACATATGCACTAGACCGTGCCAAAATTAATCTCTGGTACAACAATGTCATCAGCTTATATCAAGAATATATTTAATTATTAATACTTGGGTGGCAGTAGCACAAATAACACAACTAGTGCATTATTGCAGTTGCACTGAGGGAAAATCATTGGTGTTATTTAACTTATTCATGTAAGTATTACAGTGTAGCTGTATACTAATTGAGAGTGCATTAATACTTTAATTGAGAGTGCATTACATCCATCTTTTTTATCCAGAAGAACTCAACCAACACACAGCAGTCAGTACTGCTGAGTGAAACACAACTGAGGCTTCTTTCTGTCCTGGCAGTAACTGAATAATCCCTTTACTCCAAGTTCCAGGAGTTACTTTACAAAGTTCTGGACTAGTTGCCAAAAATTCACACTAGGGAAAAGTGTAGGCGGATATTATTTCAAGGTCCAATATCTCATGACCCGTCATAACTCAAAACAAATGCTTCAAATCACTGAAAGTTAATTCCAAAGTCTAATGGTCCAAAACACCATTGGAAAGTCTCTCCATTCACTGAAGTCATCCATTCTATTATCCTGCATCCCTACCCAGCTATTCACTCCCACTCTTTAGAATCATATGCCAAATCACATTATCACACAGATGATTTGCAGGAGATCTTTCCCTCATCAGATGCCTCAGTACAGACATACTTGGACTACTGCTTGGCTAGCTTTTCCAGCATACAAACCTATTACCACGTTGGAAATGCTAACCTGCCCCCTATGGAACACCTCAGAGTTTTATTTTGTTCCAGATTACATAGAGGAAAAGTTACTGTTAAGTAAGGAAACATCTGTTTAACTCTAGTAAAGGTAACACTCAGATAAGAAGAAAAACTATCAATTACTATTCCAAGTAAAAAAAAGAAAAGGTATTTCTCCTTATTCATTAATGAAAAGTAGAAACTGTGAAGTACAGAACTATCAAAACAACAAACCACACAGTACCCTGCAGTCAAGACAAGACAGCTTAAGCAGGCTGTGGAATACCAGAGGAAAGAGAAGCTTTAACACTGTTGAATCTCAACAGCATATCCAGCAGCTTCAAAGCTTTTAACTGGAAAAAACCAGCAACCATTTGGATGACTACCGACAAGAACGCAGTTCGCAAGTTTCACATTAGGTATCCACTAATCCTAGAGCATTCAACAGTCTTGCAACAGTCACCAGATCTAAGAGAAAAAAAAGTCAAGGCAGGACATACTGCTGTCAAATCGAGCGTACAGGGAGAATACTGCCACTCGTGCACTAGCTGCAAAACTACTTATGAAAGATGAATCCACCACCATGAGGTTGTTTCCTAATCAGTTTGCTGCCTGCAACTTGTTTTCACTGAGCAGTCACTTTCTGGTAGCGTCAGCTGCAGGAGAGCAGAAACTGCAGCAAAGCCAGACAAAAAGGAAGACTGATCATGAAATCCTCATCAGCTTTGCAGTAGATTAGACTTAGCATGTAAGAACTTTGAGCTATAAGGAAACCTCATGTTAAACTTTTAGCTGAGCCTGCCAAAAAAAACAGAAAGGAAAAAAGAAAAATAAGTGTGAATGTACTTTTTTTCATCTTTCTTTAAGACACAAGACAGGAAATATGCAGATGTAAAGAGAGGGAGCTGATATAGAAAGAAAAAGCAGCCCCTAAAATGGCTGCGTAAAGGTACACTTAACATGCGTGGTACATGAAAAAGAAAAAAGTTGACCCAAATAACTCATCTCTTCAGAAAGGAACTAACATGCTGAATTATATTTTGGAAGTTATTAAGAAATTGGCTTGTTTGGCAACTAGTTTGTAAAAATACGAAAGATATGAAATATCCTATATGAAAAATATGAAGTTATGAGATGGGGAAAAAAGATACACAAGCATATGCACATAACATATAATGCAGTTATGTTTTTTCAGGCTATTAGGTGAAAAATAATTATATCATAAAACTAACTAATGATAAATATCACAATTATTGCAACAATGAAACACATGAAGGTAATTTCTTGACCTTGATGGAAAATAGCAATTATTTCTTACTTTATGAAATACTGTTAACTTCTTTCAGCCTGCGTCCTGCGATCTAACCTTCCTAACCAAAGATAAAAATTGAATGCAAAACCAGCATGATCAGTGTTACTTCCTTCCTAGATAGACAGCATTTGCAACAGGGTAGCCAAGACACCATGAAGAAGTGTGCAAAGGTTCTTTTACTTCTCAGTCAACCCTCTCCTAACAGAAACTACATTGACATATAGGAGTAACACATGTATTCAGTATACAGAAAAACAGTACTAGGACATTATTAGCTGTTTGGTGGGATCTTTAGTTATTAACTAAAAACAAAAAGAACAGCTAGTATCAAGTCTGTGGCCCTGCAACTCATGTCTGTAGCCACAATTGGTCCTGTCACTGTGGCTGGCTATACAGATCCAAGAATATAGAAATACAGTAGAATATAGAACATAGTCGAATACAGAATATAGTAGAAAGGATAATCTAGTAAAAACCTAAGGTATCAGTGGCAATTGCTGAAAGGAAAAAACTGCCCATATTATGGAAAGTCTTCCTTGGAGGAAATTTAGAACTACATCCTCTTTTACTAGATTTTACAAGGGAGAAAGTAAAAGGAGGGTTTACTCCTTTTGAATTAAAAGGTTCGCCCTCGAGAATTACCAAAATTTCTTTGTGGATAATTGCAAATACCTAACATAGATCCTTGTCACCATACCAAACTCTTGACATATCTCAGTTGCTATTACTAAACAGCCCGTTAGCAAACAACTGCTGCCATCAGCAGAACACAGTAGCATTGTACCATACCTTCTGGTAAACTATTGAGCACACGAGGTCTTTAACAGCAGAGAGAGACAGGTCCTGAGCTTCAATGGTGACAGTCTCTCGAGTGAGACCAATCTGCAGAAGGAAGGAGATCCCATGCATAGAGCCTCGGGAGTTGGTGAGGCTCTGGGTACTGAAACTGCCATTGGAGAGTCGACTGGAGAGCCCCGACTGGGGACTTGAAGACAACGTTGGGGTCTGTGGTGCAGCAGCATGACATGTAGGTGGGGAAAACTTCTGTAAGGATGGGGGAGAAGAGTCGTTTGCTGACATCTGACTTGCTTTACTCTGCCGAGATCTCCCTAGTAGTCAAATTCTAAGTGAAATATATTAGCAGTTCTTCGTTTGAAATGAAAACAAGGATAATGTAAGTTTCCCTTTCTTAGTTCAGTAAAATGCTCCTGGACCAGTAAAACTTAAATTTCCCTTTCATTCGATGCAAGCCAAAGAGTAAAATAATTACAGCTGCAAGTTACTTTAAATTAAAGGTTCTCTTTCTGCAGTTACAATCAGCTGATCAAAAGCAGATTGCCAGTCCTTTAGCACCACGTCCAGACACAGAGGCTTACAAAAAAGCCTCACAGAAACACATCAGCTCTGCTGTTTTATACTTGTCCTTCATTTTTTATTAAAAAACAAAAGCTGGAGAAACAGATGGAAATAGATGTTGGTAATTCATTAAAAGTATCCCTGTTCACCTAGTTACACAGATCATATCTCAAATGAAGACTCATCTTCATGCAGATAGCCTTTCACAACGAAAGAAAAAGTGTATCCTTGAGCAACAACAGAAGTCCACAAATGTGATGAATCTATGCCTCCTTCAGAAAGTCTTCTCTGAATTCACAGGACACGGTGAACTTGAAGATCAGTGAAGATACCCAACTTCATTTTTATAAAATATTTTAACTCGTGAAATGGAGGAGCAGAATGTCTGAAGACACAATCATATTAAATGTAATCTCTAGCATCACCCAGATAATCTCCAGCGTTCTGAAATATTGTACTCTGCCTGTAGGGGAAAAGATAAAGTTCTTATTTCACATGAAAGGCATGAAGTCACATACCCATGTCACAACCACTCTGCTTTTATGCAGCAGGATACCAGTTCCTTTTACTCAAATGTGTTACATTAGGAGCATTTTGTACTTGTTAATTAGACTTAACTGCTTTCCCACTGTATGATACACAAAAAAAAATACAGATCTAGCATTGACCAATATGCTACCACAACTTCTAACTAACAAAAGCTTAGCAGAGCAAAGCCCTTAGCACTTAAGAGGAAAAGAACAAAAAAGGTAGGGGAGCAGTAGAACACAGCTCTGTTCTGTACATCAATATTGAGAAGCTGGTGGGTAGGGAAGGAAATTCATTAAATGCATAGAAATGTCAAAAAAATACAAGATAAAAACTCAAACTCTGTGTGGCAGCACATACTCAGGGTATCATTTTAATACGGTTATTAAAGAAAACTGAAGACTTACTTGCACAAACTCTAACTACAAGAAGATATGCAGAGCCTGCAAGTGAGCATTTGTTGGTTCCTTTGGGGAAAAAAATAATTTAATAATACTCACACATCTGATTAAAAAAGCAAGTCTGCTACAACCTTTGAAAATAAATCATTTAATGAGCTTGAGATACTTGTTACAAGATGCAATGCTACTTGATTCAATATTTCAAGCATTTCATGAGCAGCTGAAATGTTTGAAAAGAATAATTTCAAGATTCCCCATGCAACTTCTGCCACAGGAAAAGTTTTCCATGGATGCAAAAGTGGTCCAAATACATAGATACTACATATTGCTAACAGTTTTAGAGGAGCATTGATCCATACAGGACACCAAAATCAGTAAGCTCACACATTTTTTCCTTCCCTTATGTAAAAAACAAAACCAAAACAAACAAACAACAATCTCAGAAAGTGTATTACTCTAGCAATGAAATTTCAGAAGAGAAATGCCACATCTTATTGCACAGAGTAGACACTGTCCATCCCAGAAATAAGACTAAAAATTGCTAAAACAGCCCAATTAATAAACTATGCACTCCTGGTATTTACCAGTGTAATAGCTCAAAACCCCACTGTCACTGCATTCTGAAAGGTAGAGAAGGAAAGAGAGATACACAGTTTGCAGTACTGGAAGGAAAAAAAGCTCTTGGTACTGTGACAAAAATTCTGAACAGAGGCTCTGCAGGAGAGAACAAATTGATATATCTGGATTTTCAGCAGTTATCTAGCAACTCTTGCCTTCAAATACAGAAGACTTGTTGGACATGTAGCAACGACATCTGAAAAGACACTTCAGTCTTAAAGAACAGGCTAAACACAACAGAGATGAAAGCCATAAATAGGAAGAGTAAGGACAGCAACAGTAACATTTAAGGACCTGTCTCAAGAAAGCAGCTTCACAGTGCCTTCGAGTTTGCTTGATGACTTGTTCTTGTAGTCTACATACTGCTTTCCTCTCCCTCACCTCTCACAGATACCAGAGACAGCAAATACGAAGCCTTAGGGGTGGATTTGAATTACAAAAAACGATGCCTAACCAACATAATAGAGAACAGAAAAGCCTTATGATGTGAAAGAATTAATGAGTCTGCTATGCAAGTTTGATTTAGACGGTGAAAATCCCCTGTGGAAGCTCACCTACAACTGGCTAATTAGAACATTAATTATATTTATCAAAGACACGATGCATTTGCATTGACAAAACCTTTTGATACCACGTGTATTTGCATACTAGCCTTTGAATAAGTTTATTTTTGTTACTTCGTAGGAAAGAATGGGTCTTTCTATGAAAGGAAAGCCATAGAAACTGTTCAGTTTGTAGTGAGAATAGAGTTCTTCCAAACATCAAATCAAATAAGCGCATGCTGAAACTGACATGCAGCCTACAAGTCTGCATTTTTATTTATGCAAAGAAAACCCTGCACCTCAAAAAGCAGAGAGGAACAGGGGCAATGAAGGAGTCCCTCTGCCTCCTTCCCTCACAGCCCGCGCTGGCCCAGAAGCGCTGTCCCTCCCGTTTCCGCTGCCCCCAAACCAAGCGTCTCCCGGGCAGCTTCTCCAGCACCTGGCCCTTAGCGCGCCCTTCCGTCCCGATGCGAGGCGAGAAGCGAACGTCCAGTCCCGCTCCAGGCGCCTCCACTCGCAGTTCCTACCCCGGCAGGGGCCGTTCCCACCGGGAGGACGGCAGCTCCCCGCACGGACGGCGGGCGGGACCGGCGGGTCGCGTTCCTGCCTGCCGCGGGTCACGCAGCCCCGGCCGGGCTGGCGCTGGCAGCCGCCCGTCCCTCCCGGTTTAAATCCCCACTGCGCGACCGCCCCCGCCGGCACCATCTCCGGAGATGATGTGGCCTCGGCCCGTCACCCCCACCCCGGGGCACCCAGGGCGGAGCTGCCGCCGCGGCGCTGTCCCCCCGCGGGGGCCGGCGGGCGCTGCCCCGGGGCACGGCCCGTGCCGGGCTCGGCGGCCGCTCCCGCCGCCGCGCCAGGAACTTTGCCAGTCCGCCCCCGCCCTTCCCCGGCGCGGTGGCGGCGGCGGCCCCGACCCTCGTACCCACACACCGCGACCCCGCGGCGGTTCCCGCCCACAGCGTTGGCGGCGGCGGCGCCCCCGATCCCGCCGCGCTCACCTGCGCTCACCTGGCCCCGCTGCCCCAGGCCGGAGCGGCCACTCGCGCATCTCCAGCCCCGCGGCTCCCCACTCACACCAGAGCCGCCCGGGCCGGGACGGGGCTGCGCCGCGGGGGCTGCCGGTAGCAGTAGTCCCGCGACCGAGTTCTGCCGCGGGCCGCCCCGCCTGCGCGAACCACGAGCCCCGACGTGCTCCGCGCGGGCGGGGGGGCTCAGCGCGCGCGGCGGCGCAAGCGCAGGGTTCCCTGAAAGAGTTTCCGTTAGTTTTCCTTGGCCGTGGCGGGCACTGCCCCGAGCCGCTACAGCGGCACGGACGGCACGGGCACGGGCACGGGCACGGCGTTACCCCGGCTGCAGGGCCCTGCGCTCCGAGCTGCAGCTGCCGCCCCGCCGCCGCCCCGGGCTCGCCTCGCCGCTCCAGCCGTGCCCAAACCGGGTCCGCCCCAGCTCGCAGCCGCCGGCCCGGGCAGCCCCCGCCCCGCCCGCCGTACCTCGCAGTATCGCGGCTCCTTCCCCCGCTCCGCCCCGCCGGGCAGCCGCGGCCCGTGTCGCCCTCCGCGCCGCTCCCGGCTCACCTTGCCGGGCCGGGGCGGCGCAGCCCCGCGGGGATGTCCCCTGGGCCGGGCAGGCCCTCCATCGCTGCGCAGGAAATACTTGACCTAGTGTGTCGCGGCATCGCGCTGGTCTTTTCCGTGGCCGCGCTGACCCGGGAGCTGAAAGTGGCTCTCAGCGTCTCCCGCTAGCCCCCACGGATGTGCGTGCAAGAACTCAAGAGTTCTCCAGGCCCTTTTCACTGTCCGTCTCCTGCTGCGTTTCAGCCCCCCCTTCTAATACTCTGATTCACCCAAATCCTATTTTCTGCCCTGCGTTAATGATGCCGCTCTTGGCATCGGCAGCAAATTTCTGCACGCAAGATACTTGGGAAAAACAGTGAGCCGAAGTACCAAATAAAACTGGTGCAAGGCAAAACTGCCTCTGTGACCTCGCTTCAGCCCAACAGCTCCCTGTTGTGAGGCAACCTGTAATCCTCCTTCTTGAATTTGGATTCAACTTCTGTGTACGAGTCTTAAAATAATATCCACTGCTATAAGGAGTTACTGACGTTTAAGTTATATACCAGACCGAAAATGCCTTGAAAAGGCAAACTGTCAAATTCAAAGGCTTCTAATCCTCAGCTCAGCGAAGCACAGATGGAGAAGCAGATTAGTTCCTTGTCATTTATAGCTCTGTTTGAAACGTACGTTTCTCATTTCCTTCACCTTGCGCTCCTGAGGCCTGGCCCTAAACCCACTGAAGCTGAGGGGAGCCTTTCCGCTTTCTGCACCCTGTTTTGCATCAGACCTTTACACAGTGCAGCTGATAGAGAATGTAACCAGTTCTCTGCCCTGACTGGCGCCATTTTATTTGATAAATAATATGCCTGCAGCTTCTTGTCAAAATCTGGAAGTAGTTTAAACTAAAAACATAGCAGTTAATGGTTGATTCTGCTTTTAACTGGTTTTGAATGCCAAAAACCACCCTGGGACTTTTTAATGAAGGCTATTCCATGAATAGAGGATGTTCTTGCCAAAGTTCTGCACCAGATAGCTGAGCAATCTTCGTTTCCTTTTTCCTCTAAAGTGGGACTCCCACATGCCACCACTGTAAACACAGAGCTTGCCTCCATAAATATGATTTCTGATGCTTAGCACAGCGAGGAGTCACACTCTGCTGTATTTAAAGTGCAGCAAGCTTCTCACATTTTGAGTAGCAGCCCTAAAAATAACTGTTTGTGGACAACACCAGATGGATATTAGGTATTACCACAGTCAATGAGCAACAATTATATTTCTTTGTAAAGAAGCTCAGCTTTATACCATCAAATAGGGTTTGTGCCATTTACTTTGCCATCCTAAGCTGTAATAGCTGCTTTTTCATAAATCAGAAGATGGATTAGTTAAATCAATTTATAACAGAACACAGGACAGCATCAGCCAAAATAAATAAAACCAAAATTCTTAAGTACTTCTTTGGTGTTATTTTCTATTAAACAAATACAGCTGAAGCATCCAAACCCTGTTCTGTTTGTAAAGATCTCTGTTGTAAAGATGTGTAAAACACATCTGAAAGCAGCTCTGTATTCAGTATCTGTGTGTAGAGCAGCACACCCACCTGTGCACATGCACAGATGACTCTGTGATTGCAGCATCATGACAGCATTGGCCCTGGCTGCAGTAATTGACAGGGCTAGCATTCTGGTTTGTTATTTTTATGACTACCATAATTAGTGATTTCCTGTGGATTTCATCAGTGCTCTTAATTCTTTTTCTGAGCCCACATCATTCCCTCAGATGGCTACATCAGATAAATACATCATATATTCATTTCTACTCACCAATCTAATGTTTTGAATATTTTCAAATTCAAGGCAACATCTTGGGAGAGTTTACTGGTGCATTTGCCTGAGAAAGTCCATAAGCACATGCTGCCATGATTATTTTTCACTGCTTTTGACCATGGTGTTGCATAGCAAAGGCCTTCATTTAGGATCGGCAAGATCTGCAACAAATGTCTGCAAAAAGAGAAAGTAATATCTCTATAGACAAAATATAGAAAATATTTTCCTTTTTTTTCTTCTCTTTTCTGTTAATTGTCTCTTTTCTCTCTCACTCTCTCAACTCAACCTCTCCCATAAGGGAACTGAAAAAAAAAGTTAGGAGTTCAGGTTTGGTTTGGATAAAATCCTGAAATGTGGGTATGCCTATGAATTACCTCAACGTCTTGGTTTGAGCCCTTAGCTGAACTTTGTCCCAAAATCTACCCCCCAACAAACCAGTGAAAAATTTAGTATAGACTTAAAAAACATAGAATCAAAATTTACCTTGGTATAAACATACATTTTTGACACTTTTTTTTTTTATTAAACAAAATGTATGTTCATATTTTAAATTCTAGGTAATTGAGTTTTGGAATTCACTTACACCCCTACCCCAGCTTAAGGAATCACTTCATAGATTTGCTAGATGAGTAGCTTAATTCATATCATATATATAATTCTACTGCGTTGGCTCCAAAATAAAGTTATTTCCCTAAAGAAATGTTTAGGGTAAACCTAACACATTTCATACTTTCCACTTATTAAAGCTTTGTCTGAGAAGGCATCAGCCCATGGAAACAGTCTCTTTAACCTGAATCACCAAGCAGGTTGCTTCCACAGCCTGATAAAGGCTGCTGCAAACCCCATGGAGACGAGCAGTGGATGACTTAACTCAAGCCCACAAAATGCACATGAGCACCAGGCACCTGCAGGCCCCTGTTCTCCTCTGTGAGCATCAGCCCCACCATCCTTTCCCTCTGGGCTGGAGGAGCTGCCCACGGATTTCAGAGTCTGCAGCAGCCCAGGCTGTTGAGCACTGGAAATCTCAGGCTGTTTCTGCTGCCCAACTGCTGTTGGCAAATCAGCCGTAGCTGAGGCTCAAAATTATAGAACCATAGAGTGGCTTGGGTTGCAAGGGACCTTAAAGACCATCTTGTTCCAACCCTCCTGCTGTGGGCAGGGACACTTTCCACTAGACTGGGTTGCTTGGAGCCCCATCCAGCCTTTTGGATTGAAAATGACTTTTTATTATGTGGATTCAAACCACAGCAAACCACGCTTCCTCTGCTGCCTTTGCCACAGACCTGCCAGTCGGGAGAGCCAAGCATTAAAACTGTATTTGTAATGGTGGAAGGTGCAGGAGCTCCCCCCGGGAGAAAATTGGTGTGCATTAAACCCGCATTAAACTTGCATTAGACCCGCAGTGCCGAGCAGTGCATTTCTCCAGAGAATTTCTGCATTTCTCCAGAGAATTTCTCCAGAGAATGCATTTCTGCATTTCTCCAGAGCTGATAGCCAAGGCAATGACAGAGCCCATGGCCTCAGCTTCCCTGGGGCGGTTTGGCTGAAATGCTGCCATGTTGGAGGGTCAACCGAAGGAAGAGGCTTTGACAGAGGTGCCTACATCGACTGCCCATCAGGACTTCAGTAGATGGCACTGGCACACCAGCTGTCACTTCCTGGGCGCGGGAAGGGACGATAGTGTCACAGATTGCCTATACTTTTCTTCAAATAAACTACCCTTTTTTCCCCCTCTAGATGACACTTGATTACATCTATTTGATTTTTCAGAGTAATAATCCAACAATTTAAAATGTATATAATAGTATAGCTGACCACAGAAATTTGTTGACACATTTTCTATTAGGTGGTATGGCACAGGACTAAACATAACATTTTTCCATTATAAATCCCTGGTAAAGCAAAATGTCCATCACTTCTGATTATTTTTTTTAAACATATATGCATATTTAAAATAGTTATGTAGTTCTGTTTTCAGCTGTGAAGCATTCTGATTTCTGTTACATTGATTCTTTTGTTGCTGTTTTGTTGTTCTGTAGACACAGAACTTTATGGGGTGGTTATGAGAGGGGATATCTCCACTCCAAATTTTGAAAGTAATGGCCTTAAAAAATCCTGTTTGATCTCTCTATACATCTCTCTATACATATTAACACTGCCTTAATCAGACTTTACACTTGCCAAATTTGTAATCTATCAAATAATTGTAACCCTCAGAGCAACAACAATCCCTTAGGGCAAAGGATTGTTAGCTAGTCCTGACTCATATTCTTGTCAGATTTCTCCTGTAGCTATAGTATTTATTTTATTTTCTGCTAAATTGTATGAGAACCCTGGCACATCACCCAGAAATTCTGTCCAGCATCTGGATTGTATAGTCAACCACAGGAAATCTCATGGAGGGGCAAGAGATTTTTGTTCTGTCGTGTAGTTCTGCTGGGATCACCATCATTTTGGTAGTGGGATTTAGACTAATTGCCTGTGACTTGATCTCTGACATGTGGGGCATTTTGTCTAAAAATCTGTCAACCATGCTGATTTTTCTTGGTAATCAAAAGATTGCTCATTTCATTCTGCTAACCAGTGATTTGGCTGTGAATTTGGAACAATTTTCCTAACAAAGAACTGCGTGGACTTTCGTGACTAAAAAAAAAAAAAAAAAAAAAAAAAACCAAAAAAAACCCACCAATTTAAATTACCTCTTTGTTTTCCCATATATGAAAAAAAAGATGGACGC